TTGATTGGCAGGCTGCCTCCAAGAGCGCGGGAGTGAATGGCGTTCTTGTTCACGATAGTCGTGGTTGAGCTGTGGAACGTTCCGTTGAGAGTGTTGTTCGCGGTGATGATGATATCCTTGGCGTTACCGGGCTCGGCGACGCTGAATGGCGACTTGGCTCTGGCGATGAGCGAAGGAGCAGCTGAAACTGCACCCAGAAGGGCAGTAAGGACGGTGAGATATCTCATGGTGGGAAGCTTCTTGCACTCGGCAACGAAAATCAATTCAAAAGAAAGGAATGTAAGAGTCCGACAACCTTTGCCGCCTTGGATTCAAGACTTGGATCTGGAGTGTCTGATGAATCTCTCAATGCGTAGACTGTTTGCTTTATATATTAGTTTCTGTTGTCGAGTTGCAACTTTGAATATCCATCATCTAGTCTCAGAAAGTCAAGTGCTTAACCTTCGGACCGAACTTCAAATCGAAGGAGAGAGGGAAACTGTTTCGCAGTCCACTTCCATGTTTGGAGCATGAAAGTTATCACTTTACAATTAGAGAATAGTACCGGGCTTCCTTCGGACACTCCATGAAGTGAATGACTTCTGGAATGAGGAGCCGCATCTTCGAGCTGCCAAATTCAAACATGATAGTCCTTGGCAATGATGGTGTCTAATTATCTAGGATACCATCTAAAGCCAAGTTCATGCAGGAGTAGCTCTTGAGCGTTTCGTAGAGCCGAACTAAATCTGGTTTGTGATAGTTTTCTGATGCATCTAGCTGCCACTATATCCACTTGCTATTGCCTAGAAGAGGCTGCGGCCGCAACTCCGGGTCCTCCCGGGGTACAAGTTGTTATAGTGTATACAGACAAAAAAAACTGATAGCAGGGGGTTTGGAAACTTAAGACAGCTTGAAGGATTCTTGGATTGTCAGATTTTCTCTCTCATTATTGCTATAATAGTAAGGTAGCTCGTGAGCATCGATCGACGTTTATTCCTTCGATCTTGGCATTGCCAATCCTAGTAATAAACATGACCACGAGCACAGGATTCTGTAGATTCTTACTAGTGCTAGTATCATCTGATATGGGCGTATTCCTTTATAAACCCCTGAGCTAGCTTTGATGTTTTGGGCATAGGATTTTCCTTCTAGGCTGCATGTAGAATTGGTTCTTGGTTCTTCACACCATCACAACATCTAGCGCTTCCGAAGATTCGGGCTAATAACACACAAGTTGCTGCACCCCACACTTTGCTAAAGCAACGATTTCGTGCATAAATATGGCACACTGGGCGTTGCAACGTGACAACTCGAGGCGAGCAAAGAAAGGGATGCGCGGTGCATCTCAATACGCCGGTAAGGAGCGCTGAAACGCTAGGACTTACGACTGCCGAGGCGCGTATAGGAACGAATCAGAAGCAAGTGTTTATTCAAACATGTGATCCAATGGTAGAGCTGCTGGATAGTAGCTTTCTTGGTTAGCTTGAGTGGCTGTCATATATCTTGGTAAACCTCAGTTTACAAGTGTCGTTGAAGTTGGTTCCAGTCATTAGACATTTAGCCGATACAACCGAGATTCGGCCCTGATACTACTACCTACTATACTTTTCCACTGAATTTAGGCACATGCCATGACCTTTTCCAGCACTTAGCAAGCCTTTTGAAGTGTTCCTAGAGCCTTGATATGTTGCGTTCATGTACCTGTATAGAAGGATTCTGATTGCTAAGCCTCCCTCTGTAGTTTCAAGGGGGATCAGAGCAGGAGCAATACCCCTGCGGAAGTTGCCCGCCGCCACATATAGGTCGAGTTGAATTTAACCACTCAACCAGCCGGGGTAATGGCACTTGAAGGGAATCTTCGGCTCAACGTAAAATAGCGCAGACCAAGACGGGCATTGTACATAATGAGAATAAACTTGGCTAGAAGCAAGAAGACGGACGTGTTTGGAACCAGGCTTTGCGCTTGAACACTCATGTAACCCTGCAATGCGGTTGCCTAAGCTAGTAGAATCCTTTCGGTAGACGAGTCAGCATCGCGCTCCCCCACGTGTGGCTTTCAGTTTGTAGATGGAATTTAGTCTTCTTTGTCGAACGTGATTACATATAGACACTCTATTACACATCTTTTGCCCAGTAGACGTTATATACAACTGTTGGATTAAGCATTTACTTGCAAGGGCCGTGATTAGTATTCAAAGCGCTGCTCATCGTCTGATCGATTGCTTATTCTCTTGAAGTGGAGAGGAGGAGACGACCGAGACGAACTAAGACACACCCTAATTTGGCTAGGAGACGACTTTGGACTCTAGAGATGTTCGGTGCATTTTTTATTGGCTAATATGTTCCTCGGTGGAGAATTTGGTCTTGGAATCGCTACTAATCCTGGTAGTTCTCGCAAACAGCTTCCAGGATGAAAACGACCGGGGTGCGCTTCGCCCTTTGATAGTCTTCTTGTCACTGCGTGAGATCTGATCTAAATGCTGCCTAGGTCTGCATACTGACGCGGCCAAGCTACCCCGAGCACCGAACGGTAGTCGAGATGGCATGGCCCCCCTTACATGCCCCTTAATAAAGCTTGCATTCGATGGCACGTAAAAGCATGAGCTGCCATAACGATTCACTAGTCCTAGTAGGATCAGCGGCGGCTGTTAAGCGGCCCTATCGGACTGTCGAATTCTGACTGAATTGAGCAGGCATGAAGCAGGGGTAACGTTGAAGCAGGATTTACATAGCCGCTATGGGTTAACAGACGCGATGCACAAGTAGTCTAGAATGGCAAAACTCGGAACTTGAATTGTGGGTAGTATAAAGATGGTCAACGCTCTCTATATATATGGAACCTATGACCCCCAAGATATGAGAGCCAAACCGAGCCTAACAAGAAGAAGCCAACTGCCTACACTGAAGAGCAATATATACTCCAATCCTCCTCGATTGTAAATGCTGCTCTGCTGTTGACACTGCCAACACTGAATAGGCTAGCTTTACAAAGGGGTAGGGTCAATCTCGCCGAGAGTGAGGTTGGCAATAACGTCCCAGTGTTCCACGATGCAGCTCCCATTCATTCGATAGGCATCCATAATCTTGATTGGCGGCGTGGAAAATTCATAATGGTGTACAAAGCCAGTGTTGTTTATAAAAGTCTGGTGCACAATAGTGGTATTGACGCGTGGTCTCCCAGAAAGCGCAGTAATAGCAGCATCTCGTCCCTGTCCAACAGACGGGTTATGCTGAATGTAGTCGACCCAAACGTAGTTATTGAAAGCTTCTGGGATATTCTTTTGAACATTGAACTCGTTCACAAACGCATTGAAAATCTTTTCTTGTTCCAGTGGAGTTGCTGGCCGAGGAGGGCAAGCAGGAACCGCAGTTTGAGTCGAGCCTGAGCCCGAAACAAGAGGAAGAGTGGCGGTGAGAGCACCGATATAAAGCAAAAATTTCATGATGTAATGATTTCTTGAACTTGAAGATTAAGGAGAGCCGAAGCAGTAAACTTGTGGAGCCTATAGTCGCGATACAAAGAGAGTATATCTAGAGATCGCGTGATGTATTGGGAGGCATAAGAAAGCTATTTATCTCCAGAAATCAAAAGAATCTTAAAGTTGAATAGTAATCTACGTCGGATCGGAGTTTTTAAAGCCTTTGATGTATAAATTTACCAATGCTGACAACAACAGTGATATTTCAATACACGGAGCATCCTTTCTATTGAAAATGCTACGACAATGGCAACTATATTCAGTGAGGTTTCTCGACAAAGTGGATCTTTGTACTAAACTGGCTGTCCGGTCGGTGTTTCTGCCGTGTGTACGCGGCCAATCCCTGCGAATGTCAGAGCTGGAGCTAAACCAATTAGTCGCACGTCTTAAATCCGATGCCGAGTGCCGACGTTATGGATTCAGCGATCTTTAGTCTTGATAGCGCCAATACATACCCTATAATGTATGTATTTTGTAAAGATTTCTCCATAGGGCAACTGACGTTACGACTAAACTCAGGCTGCTGCAAAAGAAAGAATGCATCTTGGACGAGAATCTGAGAGCTCGATCAACTTCTTCATTATCGAACTTTTGCAATGGCCTGACCCCTGAAGTGCTAAGTTAGGCATCGAGAAGCAGACAGCAACATTGATAGCGTGGGGAGAAGACTCGAGTGCAGCACTCTTATTTAGTACCACGCAGGCCCAAGTATCAAACAAGAGACTCAGAGTCTCATGTTTGAATGACAGACAATGAGGAAGGTAGAGTTATGTGTTTGCCAAGGCCCGATATCTTAAAACAGGCGTATTCGTTGCGTATTTGAATGAGAATAGTGGGACTTGAATGCGCGAGTATTGAAACATGTTGCATTAAGTTATAGCGGATACCAAATACGCTTACTTTGAACATCAAATACGCTGGCCCCCTTCTTTTCGTTTCAGAAAATACACCTACTTTCCTAGATTGAGTTGATGAGCCTTCTATGTTACAAACCTCTTTGTTACCGTACCGGAGTATACGATTTTGTCGATTGTAATAATTAATGGCGTCGCTGGCGTCTGAAAACATTGTCTGTACAGGTAAATGCTCCGAAGCCAAAAAACTGAGAAGGTCGTCCACTCTAGTTGTATAACCAGTGAGAGTGGCGAACGACACAAGCAGCAACCGCGATTTTCATACTCGGATCAATACCTGAAAGGAATCATAATTCATAACCCAAAGTCGAGTTGTACTTCTTACATTCAAGGCTTCTGCAGAGGAGATGAGGTTGAGAGGAGGTTATCAGCGCACGCCAGTAAAATAAGATCGTATTTTTATAAGAGAGTAATAGCAAAACGGCACGTATAATTGTCACGCTGTTGATGTTTTTAATTTCTATTTTTGTTTACAATTCGCTTGACAGCTTCACAGTTTGACAGCATCCAATTGACGATGGTAACTCCACCTTTGCCCTTGCGCACGCACTCCGCCACAACCCGAATGCGTTCCTGAGTTAGAGATTTAGGAACTAATCAATCAGGCAGTATGAGAAAGATGAGAGGCTCAGGTCGAAACAAAGGCATCGGGGGGAAGGAAGCAAAGTGTTCGAAATATTTCAACAAGAATTATCAGCCGCGATGCAGTGTATAGGAGCAAGACTATAAGAAACAGAAGTACTCCACACCAACCAGGTAAGATATTAGGGAAATGCTTGCCACCATCCTTGGCATTACATATAAAGACTGCGGCAAGGAGCGCGATAGTTGCATGCATAACTGAATAGATACTTGCACATCTCCATAGATACAACTCGAATGTGGAAGGAAACGTGAAATTCCAGGCTCCAATGTGTATCGCGCCAAATAGAATCATTGCTGCCAGCATTGCCGTTGCAGTTGGGATTGCAAACTTCTTGCTGTCGCTCGCGGCCCGACCGTCAGCGGCGTGTAGTGGTGCACCATATGGGCGTTTACCCACAGGAAGCGCCAGATTTATGATAGAACCGTCGTCTTCTTCAAGTTCCTTTGCTATCCATGTGTGGTAGTCTTGATGCTGCAGAGAAATCGTAGTTGATACGCCGATAGATTTTGGTTTATCCCAGTACAAGCCATATATGATGATTGCACAGGCTGCAAAGGCCAAAACGGCGAGCTCAAGCGGGCAGATGGAGAGCTTCCTTGCAGCACGAATAAGAATTTGTATTGTGGACCATATGATTTGGGCAACTGAAACGGTCCTGATGAAGGGGTCATCTTTAGCCCTATCAATGAGTTCTTCTTCAGTGATATCGGGTAATCTGGCGACTCGGTTCGTTTCTCTGAGTTTGATGAGATCCCTTCCAGTAAGGTGATGCAGATTGTACCCGTTCACATTTTCTCTGCTTTCTTCTTTCAATATAACAAACCCTCCCATGTTTGCATAGTAGGTATGCGTTAAAGACCATCTGATGCGATCTTGATCTGCAAGTCGCAGCAATGTCGGGTGGTCTTCGCGAGCTTGGAGGCGGACGTTGTAAGCCACGCCAATTATGATTTCAGGTGCAAGAATTGTCAATATAAACGCATTTGAAGCGCTGAGAAGGTGCTTTAATTTCCATCTGATGCTCGCTTTCCACCCAGATACTTGTGTAACATCATTGAGATCATGTCTGTAGCCATGGCGTTGCTCTGGAACATTAGGATGCTGAAGCGTCCAAGTACAAGCAAATATTGTGAATAGCGAACTCCGAAGTATATCTAGCGTACCCCGAAAATTAGGAGACGATACATAGTTTACCCCGATGGGAGGTTTAGAACATGTGGTCTCAAAGACTGAATATGCCCTGGCAACTGCAACGAAGCAGAAGAGAGCAAATTGAGATGATATCTTAAGCATTTTTACAGAGAAAGGCTTCTTTTGTTTTATTTGACTGATCCAGTGGCTGAGAAATTGCCAATGAATCTGAAAGAAAGATTGTGGCATGGCTACAGCCTGTATATATGAACACTGATGATACATATCTTGCATTTCAGCTATATAGGAATCTTTGGCTGTGCCGTTCCTGCATATCTTCGCAGCAACCACAACGTCGGGCGACACAAAAAGGCCAAGGTCAATGGCCAATTTGGTGTTGAGTAGTCAATCGAGTTTCCGGCAATTGCCTAAAGCGACTCAGCGTGAGGCGCATACGCAATGCTCTGAAGAAGAAAATTAGGCTTCGAATATCCAAATAATTGGCCGTGGGCAACTTGACCTGTCTGATATGCGATCCATCGGAGATAATCCGCCAGGCTGAATCAAAGCTGAGGCTCAGCCCCCAATGATACATCACGGTAGTATGCTACCTCGTAGACATCAGAACTCATCTCATAGGCTTGATTCGTATACGGATGTGAGACAAATCTCTATTTTAAGCCATAGCTCCCCGTCTCTACAACTCCCTCGGCTCGGACTGGATCATTGCCAAGAAACGTCAATTCGATTAACAACCAACAGAGTGTAGTAGCGCTATAATAGTGCAGCTCTAGCAGCATTTTCATGCATCCATCACGCGTAAGAGAAGTAACTAGCAAGCGGGCGATATGTGTGACTCAAACAACCTGCTGTATATGGATTAATACTGTTCGATTACATGCAAGCATGACCAAAGCGCGCGATACTGTACATGTAGTGTCATCGCGGGCCGTGCCTTGAAATGAAGACAAGCATCCCTTTTATGCTGCAGCTTCCCTTGCAATAACATAGAGTTTTATGCTACAACCTGTTTCAGACTTGAATCTGTTCATTAGCAATGACAGATGCCGCTGCTTTGAACCTGGCCGCGCTGCGTTTGCACGATTCGCCTAGGCTGCAAGTCCTCTCTCCCGCAATATGGGCCATTATCTTCTCCTTTCTCGACTCGGCGCAAACAATTGCGCGTATCGCATTAACATGTAAAAAGCTCAACGCTGTCGCTCAAGTGCAAGGATGGCCTTGCTTTGTCAGGAGCCGCTTTGCGAGCCTCAAGCTTCCAAAGGCGCTCGGCGACAAGGAATGGGTTGAGCTGGCCAAGAAGTTGATTGCACAATCGCGCGCCTGGGATCGTCGAGCTTTTTCTATCACTTCAGTAGTGTCTCCTATTCAACAAGGCGGAGGCAATGAGCGTTCTGGTCTAAGTCGCGGGCGCGGGCGAGGACGAGGACGAGGACGAGGACGTGGGAGAGGAAGCAATCGCGGTGGTGGTGGCCAGTCTAGGATGCAGACGTTTCCGGCACATGTTGTCGTTGATGCGAGTTCCAAAGTCGATGGGCAGAACGAAGAGGAGACAGTTGCTTGGGGTCTCGGCGAGGACGTGGTTATCCGATCGCGAAAGTCAAAGAGCTCTACTATTCAGGGTGAAACTTGGATATCACTTCCCGGAGTCGAGGCCGGTTTTAGAAGCGGCGACGATGATGTGACAGCCATATCGATTCTGTCTGATTCTGCGCCCCAGCCTGGTCTCCTTGTTGGCCGAGCAAGCGGTTACTTGCAGCTCATTTCCACAGGACGCAGCGACGTGGGACGGCTTCTCGCTTGGTTCCATCCAATGCGTGGAGGTGTAGATCAACGTGACATACAGCACTTTGATACCAACGAATCGCAAAACACCATGGTAGTTGCCACAAAGGAAAACATCTTGTTCTACCCTTTAGAGCCCAACAAATGGCCAGCTGCGGATATGGCCAATGGCACTCCAGATATCGTCGTTGAGCCCACTGATGCCTTTAGCGTCAAGAGTCTGCCCAACTCTCAAGACTTTAGATTCATACGCGAGGCAAAGTACATGAGCAACGGAGATATTGCCTTGTGCATGGCTAGTAGCGCACAGCCTCTGCGCTATCTAACCAGGACGCCCTTTGGCACCGTATTGGCCAATGCCGCCAAGTTGCGACCTTCGAGCCGTTGCACCGAGTCGCATATCTTTAACGGTAGCGACCCGCAAACTGCTCGAAGTGTATTGCCAGTCAACTCTACTTCAGTTATTGGTGGCTCTGGCAACACCGTCTTGAGCTCTTACGACGATGGCACAGTTCGGCTGCAGGATCTTCGGAGTCATTCTCCTATTGACGCCATCTTTCAAGATCATTTTGAGATGACTGCCCCTCTCGGCCCTCTTCTGTCCTATGGAATGGACAGATTTATTGTTGGAAGCGCCCGCCTACCTATTCTGAAAATCTTTGACTTCCGATGGACGAGGCCTTACTCTTACACAGATGCCCTCGACTGCAGGAAGAGCGAACTCGGCCCAACACCAAAACCTCTCACCGGAGTACCAGCCCCAAAGTCTTTAGATTATGCAAAATGCTGTCATCTATCTGGACGCCAGTGTACCCTTCACTCCCTGGCGCGGACCGATTTCTACAGACCAAACTGCAATTTGTATCTCCCCGTTGTGTGTCCCGCCGTGACGCCGCTGTATTCGCTTGCCAAATCGTCAGACATGGCGTCAAATCTCTACGCGGGCGTTACCGGCGAGCTACTGAAAATAAGCCTCAAAGACGCTGCGGTCGATGAGCGGGAAGATTTCTGTATGAAGCAGATGGGCAACAGTAACCGCTGCGGCTATACCTTTCACAGGAGCCTTGCCAACTTGGTTGAGACGGGAGATGGAATTGCGTTGAGCGATATTTCCCAGAGCAAGAGACTTCCACTTTTGTTCAAACAGAGTCCTGAGCTGTTGTCTGTCACTGCTACAGGGGAGCTCCGCCGGCTCGATCATGCTTTGAGGTAACAAAGTATAGCCGATTGACTCTTTTGCGAATCAAGGAGAGTTAGTGTGATTTGATCCTTTTGTGTTGCTATGTTAACAGTGCATTCCAAAGTATGAAACACGACTAGTAGTCAGCAGTAGCAGTAGCAGTAGTACCAGTTGTAGCTTGTGCTATCGCCAGATTGTTGGATAATAGAGTCGAGGTACTTGAACTTTCCCCTATAAGAGCTTGTGAATGAAGTAAAGTACATGTATGCCCGACCACATCTTTTTACATGCCAGGAATCTGAGTCACTTTGAGTGTCAAAGAGAGTTTAGCCTTTACTTCAAGCCTCCAAGCTAAGGACGCGTAGTCAGGGTGATTAATGCAGTGGGCCCAGAGATTTTGAGTATAAATATATAGATATGGACTAACATAACCAGATCTTCATCTTAACATCATCTGCGCCAAATGTCCTCACCATTAGTCGTTGGCCCTGCGACAGGCCATTCTCATACTCACACAATCATCGTCTTGCATGGTCGCGATAGCGAGGCACAAGAGTTCATGGCTGAGTTTTTCGAGTGCGAGGCAACCGGACCTGAAACAGATCGCACCCTGCCGGCGCTTTTTCCTACAGTCCGCTGGGTGTTCCCGCAAGCAAAACCCCTCCATTCTGAACGCTTCAATATCGAAATGTCTCAATGGTTCGACATGTGGAGTGTGGAAGACCAGCAAGAGCGAGCTGAGCTGCAAATACCTGGCTTGCGAGCGAGTGTCGATCGCGTCGCCGAATTGATCCAAGAAGAGGAGCTTCTCGTACCCCGGAAGAGAATATTTCTAAGTGGAATCAGCCAAGGATTTGCGACGTAAGGATTCGATTCACTATACCATTGTTAGAAATAAGTGTTAACAGTATTCTCTTTTAGCGTATTGGCTACCTTCTTTGCTGATGGTAGAGGAGGTTTCGCTGGTCTATGCGGATTCTCTAGCTGGTTCCCGCTCGCCGCCCAAGCTGTACCAGAAGTCTATGCTTTCGGGGGGGATTCTAGTCAACAATTGGCAGCCATGCAGCGATTTTACCTTGGTAGAGATGAGTCATCGCCAGTACAAATGACCTCGACGCCTATTCTTCTAGGGCACTGCCGAGACGACGAAGTTATCGATATTCAAAGTGGGACTCGCCTGCGAGATTTTTTATATCGGTTCGATATGGAGGTTGACTGGCAAGAATATCTAGACGGAGGACATTGGTTCAATGAGCCGCAAGGCGTTGATGATTTTGTTAGGTTTTTGCGACAGCATATGTAGATAATAACCCTAAGTCTGGGACTACGAGAATAATATTTTAATGTCCACCTCGTGTCTCATACGTGGAGATCCTAATATGTCGCTGACCGGCCGGAGCTACAATGAGAGGTTGTGAGGTCAATAGCGTGCGGGTATCTTCATACTCAAACACACTAATGAATGATTAAAAGTAAAGGTTTAGGTTTATAGTCTACTTTGATTGCATATAAGAGGGTTGGCTGAAATGCAGTGTAACGGCGGGGCCGTAGAGCGGCTATCTGGATATCCATCGCATATACTACCGCTGCTACTCGGATAGCATGCCGATAAGGCTTTGTCTATCACTAGTACTTACACACCGGGAAGGTTATCTCTATATCTTCGGCAACCGATGAAGCGATGGTACCTTGTAAGAGTGGTAGTAGCACCAGTATCAGATATAGTATGCGGAGAATTACTATGTAGCATCTGTTCTTTAAGGAGTAACATCTCCGTAAATATGCTTTCCATCCAATAATAACCTTGTAGTATGATTTATTTGAGATCTGAGATCAAGTTTGCATATGGGTACGCATTCTCGATGCCTGGAATCTTGTACGAGCTCTGAGAAAGGCCGTGGGCCACCACCAAGGAGCGCTGATGTTCAAGTAGGAAGCAAGATGATAGTAGCTATATACAGCGATACACCCGCAAATTTTGTCATATAGATACGTAGTTATACAAAGTAGAGCTGGCGAGTTTTTACGTCTATATTATTGGCTATTGAGAGACTTTGGTCCCTATAACTGGAAAAGTACAGATCCAAGTCTCGAGGAATAAATGCAAAGCGATATCTCAGCGAAATGCATTACATAGTAACATGGTACACAAAATAAATCTCGGCCTGTCATTACTGATGATGATCAGTGGTAGAATTTTATTGGGCCAGTTCATGAATATATCATCTGTCCCTGGCTGTTGATAACCATTTTTTAATACCTGGCAAAAGAACCCTGAGACGAGAGACAATCTTATGCTTAAAGCTGGAGTGTCTGTCAGTATTTTAAACGATTTTTGTATTATGCATTAATATGTAAACGAATGTGAGTTCACATATACAAAATCTGGGGGCTCGTCTCCAAAGTCTGAATACCTCGAGCCCGAGGCCTACTAGGAACGGATAGATTCGCAGAATCCTCCCGCCCTATGTTGACTTCACCAATGATCATGCCACAAACATTTGCGGAATCTTGAAATCGCCCTTCTAGCATTTGAATCTGGGCTTTGAATTGCAAATACAAAGAGTACTGTTGCCGTTCGGCTGATGGACGATGTAACTAGGACAGCGCACTATGGCTTGCAGGCCACGCATTGGCGTTTCTCCCAGAGATTGGCGACAAGGAGCGGGCCGCAACGCAAATGGCCTGTGCTTACTTCCAAAACCAGGCTTGATCAGCGACTATCTGAACGTGGAGACGGCTCGTTTAGCCGGACAATCTGGCCCGCCAATTCATGCAGTGGGCGGGGATGACAGGGATTGGTGGAAGACTAGGCTGACAGAGGGAGCTAGATAGAGGTAGGGAAGACGGTCTTTGAGATAGTCTTGGGACTTGTGCAAAAGTTACTTGAATTGGTAAAATGCCTACTCGTATACGAAGTGCTAGACCTCACGAAGTTTTGCAGGAGAGAGATGGAGACGATAGATGTAATTTGAATACCTTAAGATATGAGAGAGCCTCACGCACGTATACCTATTTTTACATTGGATATGTTTCGGCTTGTATATACATGTATTTTGTTTACTCCCAAGTCTTTGCTTTTATTTGGCTTAATGCAGCATTTTGTTGACCTATAATGCATTGGTGACGTTGCGTCTTATTCTATCGCTGACGTGCTCAAAACTCATCTAAGCTAATGAACAAATGGGTAAAGAGCACACGAGGGACATACACGCATTCTCTTCCGGCTTAGGAAACAAGGCTTACAACAAGAGCAGCTCCGCTTTGCTAGAGTCTGATCGCCGACTTTCACTCAACTCCTCCAATCACAACGATATACCTCCTTTGATGATATCACTCACAGATTGAACCGACAGAGGAAAGCCCCAACGTCGGCGAATGGAGACCGTTGATGTGCATCTAGGCGATGTTCTAACTCAAGGCTGCTTAGCGAAGATTGAAAATCACAATCGCTCATTGCTGCTGTTTTGTATCAAGACCGATGAGGCCGCTTTCTTTGACCTAGCTACGAACGGTTCACTCAGTTCTATGCTGTTCATGATTGACACTGTCCTGAGCCCAGAATCCAGCATAGAGACAAAAAACCATCACTGACCATTGCCCCTCTATTCACTCTTCAAATGCTGCTAAATGGCCATAATTAGAACTGCAGCTGTGTTGGTGCAAAAGAATTCCTGATAATACGAAACTGGAAGCGATACAGGCGGTATATGTCGGCTATGCGGGCTGCGGATTACTATTCATTGGCTGGGGATGTTCATTGTTGAGCAGATACGAACAAGGGTAAAGGCAGGGATGGTAGGCATTATTAGGAAAATGCAAAGGCCTGAAGATGGAAAAAGAATGGGATGGAGGGTATACTACCAGTATTGGTAGAGACCATGGAGGGGTTATTGAAGTATTTATCAATCTCTACATAGCACTCCAGCTCATTTTGAGGCGTTCTCTGTGCGCTCCTAGTTATCTCTCAATTCAAGAGCAGCCCCATCTATAATGCCACTAGACAACAGTAAACAAGATACGTCATTCGACTATATGTTCTCTTTTCTTGAGCCTTTTGAATGCTTTGCTTTATAATCTTTACGTATATGCGTTCTATCTATATGAGCGGGGAAGCACCAAAAGTCCCTGGCAAATAAACCCTGCATCCGCCTATTTCGTCTCATAGATGTTGATTCTAAGACTGCAGCTAGTTGTTAGAGCGGCCACTAAAGATTACGATATTGGAAACAGGGGTGCCCGCATTAACACGGGCGGGATTATGCACTGAAGCCATCGATAGTGGGTGATGTCGCATATCGTGTGAGAGATAGCGATTAAATAAGCACTCCGATTGCACTGTTCCCACATCGTCTAGCTTCAAGCAAGCACTCTATTGTCGATTCTACGTATTGTTACGCCGGTCCTTTTCAATCCTCCTCCGAGTCGCTTTTGTTCTCCTCGGGATGCTGCCTCAAATATTCGAGGTATGCGGGATCGACGGGCCAATCATGCTCGCCACCCTCACGCTTGAAGTACCAAACATCCGACGTGGGGAATCCGACGCTGTCAACCCATGACTTGAGGCCGTCGAAGTTGCGGCACTGGAAGTCGCCGCTGAATTCTGGCTGCGGCTGTATCATGTTCTCGTACCAGTGCCAGAGGATGAGGTCAACGTCTGAGTGGCATGTTGCTATTTGGGTGAGGAAGTGCAAGCAGTGGTAGAGGTGCTCCCAGTCATGGCGGGATCTCTCCTTGCCACGAAGGTAATGAGCGCCTTCCAAGCCCATTCTTAGGTGGTTGATGCAATGTAGTTGATGCGTGACGGAGAGCATCGCAGGAAACGAGTTGGGATCTCCTGGCATGTGAGTTATCTTGGCCGGGTCTTGGCCGAGCTTCCGCACATCATCTGCACTGATAGTTATTGTCGACAATTTTGATAGCTCGTGCCATGCCTCCTCGGTTGCGTTATTCGGCCGCTGGCGAAGGACATCGTCGCTGAGCAATTCGTTCTTATGGAAGACTTTCTCAAAGGAAAAGGTATACCGATCAAAGACGGGGGCTAGACATCAGTTAGCAAAAGGTGCGCTGACTTTTTCTTGGAGAAGGCTGTGAGTGGAAAGTAAAAGGCATAACTTACAATATCCCGATGCCTTTTGCAACAATGAATTTGTATTGATGGTATCCAGCAGCGATTGCTGCTGTGACGAGCGCTGGATGGAAAAGAGTACAAGCACTGCTCCGACGAGTATGACTAGTAGGATAGAGTTGACGGCGATGAGCATGATGCTGCACCAAACAAGTCTGGAGTGACGAGTCCGTTCAGTCGACATCGGCATGAGCGTTTCTGTTGATGATGCATCGTCTTCATCCTGCTTAGCCAGAGCGGCATAAGCCGAGGAGCGCACAAACGACGGCATGACAGCACGAAATCGATGTTTGGAAATTGAGAAGAGAATCAAGTGAAAGTCACTTGTGTCTAGACAATAATTGAGGAAGCCAAAAACAACCGGCCAAGTAGCTACTGAGTAAAATAGTAATAGCCTCCTCGGTGATTCGCGGGGATCTTATGATGGGACTATTGGCTTCATGTTTGAGCTTCAAAAGTCCCATAAGATCACAACCCTGCACTAGAAATGCTCCATTCACGCCACTTAAGTGGAGGCTTGTCGTACAGCCTTTGTTTAGATACTAATAAGCCTTTACAGATGGGGGGGCCTTATTGTACGGTATAGCTAATCCCGAGGCCACACACGGTATATATTCAATCCGAGGGCTATGAGAGACAGTGTATCACGCTTATTTGCCGTCACACCGCGGTGTCTGTGGTCGTATATCCTTTGCTAGTAGATTAATACATATGCATGTCAGATGGAAGCGATGTATTCGCTGTTTTGCATGTATCAAGTCCCACTGGGGTGGAGACACCGAGACCCAATAGGTAAAAGGTCTGCCTTGGATATCGGTTCACGCGGGGAAGTTTGTCATATAGAATCCAGTTACACAATCAACACTCCACTAGTGATCACGACTTTACAGACGATAATGTCAATGTGACGATCGCGATCTCTTACCCTGTCAATGAGCCATTTGAGGGACCCTTCTGTGAGCTTGAGTTAGACCAGATATTGCTTAGCTATAACCATGCCGAGTGTCAGCAAAGCCCACACTACATGCACACAGCTCCATTAAACCGCCAGAATAGGAGCCATATATATACGAAATACAGGAGTCCAGCAAATCAGTCTCGTCAACACAGAAGTTCCTGCTGGTGTCTTGTTTGCTTCGGCCCGTCTAGCCATAACAGGCAGCTGCATTGCTTTCAACAAGCCATAATATGATGCACCAATAATTTACTAAATTCCTGGCTTCAATTGTTTTGTTGATCATGTCAACCGAGAGGGGTTGCCAATATTGACCCAAGACTGTTTATCCTCCAATCCTATTCAAGAAAATTCTTTTACGAGGCAAGACTGCTTGATAAGGCAAATATTTGGGGTGATTATAGTCCACAGAGGGATAGTTCATGTCAGCAGTAATTATATATAAAGCACGGTAATATCTGTACTTCATTTCTATAGTAATAGGAACAACAGCATACTACCCTACTCCAGTCAATCAGACATACCGGCCATCATGAAGTTTACAGCCATTGCGGCCCCGCTGGCCTTTGCAGCATTTGCTGCTGCCGCACCTGTTGGCACCAGTAAGTCGAAAAATCCAACCAAGCATTTGAACATTGCACATTGCACACTCGTTTTCTTTCCTTCGAATCGGTGTATATCGAGAGTTTTCACGTTGCTTGGAGTTCATTGTATTTTCTTACTTACGATTAAATAGGTGAAGTTCAGGCTCGCTCAGAAACAGTCCAGCCACCTTACCACCCCAACATTGATAAGCGAGAGGAAGCTATTATTCCTCCTCCTTACCACCCTCTCATTGACAAGCGGGCTGAGGCAATCGAGCCGCCTTACCACCCCAATATCGACAAGAGAGAGGAAGCTATTATTCCTCCTCCTTACCATCCTCTCATCGATAAGAGAGCTGAAGCCGTCCAGCCGCCTTATCATCCGAATATTGACAAGCGGGAGGAAGCAATTATCCCTCCTCCTTACCACCCTCTGATCGACAGACGGGCTGATGCTATTGAGCCTCCGTACCATCCCAATATTGACAAGAGAGAGGAAGCTATTATTCCTCCTCCTTACCACCCTCTCATTGACAAGCGGGCTGAAGCCATTGAGCCGCCTTACCACCCCAACATTGACAAGCGAGAGGAAGCCATTGAGCCTCCTTACCACCCCAACATTGACAAGAAAATCTAAACATCAAGTATATGGCGTGCAGAGACTATTATAGGGGTCAAGGATCTTGGCTATAAAAATAAGTTATAGCTTGGAACGTTAGCTATAGTTAGACGAAGCTGAAATTCAGCATTGTTGGTCAAGGTTGATCGAACCGTTAAACGTAACTGTATTTTGCTTCGTAAAATAAAATTACGCTTATATTGAAGAGAGATGGCGCTTTTGAGTCGCCACAAATAAGCAGAACCTGCCATACAGGGGCCATTTTGAATATGGGCGGTGATTATCGTTTATATTCACTATAATGAAGTACTGCAGGTGTTCTGCATAAATCGTTTACATCAGAATGTATAAAAGCTGTTGATTGCTATTGAATGTCCGAGCTAGTAGACCCGAAGCCATAAGTACCTCCAGTGTAATGACACCTTTGGCTGTGGTCACTTGTGCGGGAAACAATGCGGATGCAGCTGTTAATACATGATCAAAAACAGGATTGTTACTATCCTGGGGATTTGATTTGTGGCAGATATGTCAGGGCGAAGTCAAGAAGTTTGCTGTCTTGAGACTCGAGGGAGTCTTGCCAATTTTCAATGTTTGTTGGCTTGTCTTCAAGTTTAGACTGTTTATTCTTTCGTCAATATATTAAACTATATGCGGCCGTACGAAAAGGAGATCAAATAGTTATCGTATCTATGGGTCTCTTTACGTATATCTGCTTGGCATCCTTCTCGTGGCCAATGAAATGAAATCTCGCCGACGCTTTTCTAAGGGGTAAGAACTTGCTGCTTTCAAGCTGGTCTACATAGAAGCGTCTTGCAATTCATTGGACTTATAGACCAATTGCTTCAAATCCTCACTCGATCGAAATGCACACTAGGAGTATCCGTATTCGAAAATAGCAAGGTTAATGTAGCCCCAGCAAACCCCCAACCCCCCAAAACAATAAATGACAATATACCATCCCCTATCATGTGCAACTGCTCCTTGAAAAGACTTTATACCCATTATGGGGCTCTGATCATCCTTCGGCAGATCATTAATATGCCATTGGGTTTATAAATGTTTGTTGTTCCGGAAGTACAAACGCTGTTCTGGCCAGGTACGCAAGCGTGGCGCAAGCCCTAGCGGTGTGATTCAATTGACACAGCCTCTATAATTGGTTCTGATATTCACTCTTTTTGGATCTATTTCAAAGAAAATACCTTCACCGATACAAATCGAGTACTTTAGATTGATTCCTGAATCTCATTCGCCATATAACAAAAGCATAACAACGGCGTATGATTACCATCTGCACCCATAAGCCATACGATTCGTGTTTCAATGTGTCTTGTCAAGTATATAAGAACCATTTCACCCTTGATAAGTTTTATTTTGCATGCATCCATAGGAGCACTTCAGCTGGGAAATCCAGATCGTTCGGCTTTAAAAAGCAATCTAGAAAGTGAAACACTGCTCCAAATTTAACTCTCGCGATATTTTTTCCCAGATATTATATCAATGAAAGTTGCTTTTACATTGCGATGTGGTCCCCAAGTACACAAGAACCTCGTAGATGATTTCTCTTATGACATCTATTAAAGTAAAGCCTGAGCCTGAACTATAGAATCCTCCATCAATAACCCGGCTACACAACGCACGAAACGGTGCTAATGAATTTTCAAGCTTGAGCCATGAACTTATCTTTGAGCTTGGAATAAGTTCCAATGTTTCCATCTTGATACAACCTCATGGCAGTCGCCAATTGTTGTCTCTTCGGATTTTCCAGAGCCTCGGAGAGGTAATGGGTATTTCCTTGATGCCTATTCTCTTCCAGCTTCACAGCTTCAATATACCATTTTTGATCCGCAAACTGTTCAACTAGATCAGCGCTCTTGGGAGAACCGTCCTCATTATAGTTCCACGGAGCATCAATAGCGGGCGGAATAATTGACAGGGTCAAAGGGAAATCTCCGAATATCTCCCAAGGACCAGCGAAGGCCATTTCCCAGTCAATCACACTTAAAATATGATATTGATCATCAACAATGATATTATTATGACCAAAGTCCCCATGACAAAGAGGAAATGGGCCATCGTCGCGGACAGACAATGTATCAGCCAGTTCGCCAATGGACTTGGCAAAGGACGAGACTGAGGGAATAATTTCAGCAGCGTATGGGCCGCATGCTTCTCGTAATTGCTCATCCGTCATTCCAAATTTGGTCTTATTTGCCCACGCTTGGAAGAACTCTGTTGCTGTGTCAAAAGGGCCGCCTAGCCCCGGAATAGGACCTTGGTGGTATGAGCCGTCCGCATTCACGGAGACAATCGTCCCGATCTTGGGTAGCAGTACCGTGGATAATTGGACCTAAGAGAGAACGATTGATCAGTTAACCATCTGTGTTCAGACCATCAACCAGATGCTTACATGGATCTTTGCTAAATCACGTAAAAAGGCTTTCTTGTACTGTGGCGGCACAGTCATGCTCAAGTCCATGCCTACATTTCCCCGCAGACAGTCCATCAACATGAATGGAGGTTTCATCTTGCAATCACTTCTCTCTTCGATTGCATGAATTTCTGGGGTGGGTATGCGAGTTCTCTGCCGTAGGAAGCAAATTGTGCTATATTCGCGAATCTCCGTTGTCTCCAAAGCATCCTTGGAAGTATCGCTTTCTACTAGAGGGGGTAGCCGCAGCCGTGCCACCCATTGGTTCCCATCTGAGAATTGAATTATCCGAACCATGTGGTTGTACCCAAGGCCGATATCAGAAAGCAGCATGCAACTGACGCCATTGTTTTTCTCAGCAGCGTATTCTAGAAGCGCAGCCCAATTCACGGATGCTAGGAATGAGTCGGCCCGTGAACGAAGGGGACCGTGTTCAAGAGAAGAATAATAATTCCACTGATACCCAGAAAATCCTTCCGTATTTCCTAGCATGTTGTTAGTGTGCCCTGAATACCAAATTTGGGGATAAAGCTTACCTGAAGCGCTATCGGGGCATCGAATTTCAAGGTCATTGTTTGCCATGGCGTGAAACGAGAGTCAACCCGATCTCAAAGTTAGAATCGAGATCAAAAAGACCAAACTAAAGGGCACGAAAGTTCTCTTTGAATGCTGGCTCAGCGTAGCAAGGCAATATTGCAGTATGCGGTTGATGTTGATGGCAGATGGAATGTGGCGCGCTTCTCTGATGCCTGAACCTGAGAGGACCAAGTCATTGTATCTATATTTACAGCAGTGCGACCTGAGATACGCGTCACGGGAGTGGTGCGTGCAGCTGCCCGTGGCATAACGGGTGCAGTTTTTTATTGGATGAGAAAAGAAATGCAAGCATAGAATATAAACTACTAGTAGATTTTTATTGGCTTGCTTAAGAAAATTCAACAAATACCTACCTTATAGGTACCTGGCTAGATATTGAATAATGTACATACATGCATGCCTACCTTAGTACCTTGTGATATAACTTTTCTTTCTTATTTGATACTTGTAGGGCAAAAAGAAGAAAAAAAGGCCTTAGGTATGAGCAAAAAACCTAGAAATGGGTTTATATCTGTATACTTATGCAGGTTAAATGAGAAGCAACCTCGGTGCCTGAGGGCGTTGCCCAGGTACTTTTGTTCGCTTGCAGGAGTCGTGGTTAGAGGCATCGAGTGACTCAATCCGGTCCAATTTCGCAGCCGTTTCCGCGCTTCTCCAAGCTTCCACGCACAGCCGCAAACCTGCGCCTGTAGGATTGGTGCTTCTTTTATCCCTGTAAAGTTCACAGGATTATTCAGTCTCGATTCCAGTTAATAGTCACGTCACTATGCGTTTCCATTTGCACGGTCGTCACATTATTGTCTCTCGGTTTTGCGTCCTTCTATCGTCTCCGAGATGGAGGATGCCTCAGGCGAGGCTGAGTAATATAGCTGGCTACTGTAAGGGGTCAAAGTAATACATGTCGGTTCATGTAGTAATATCATATAATTCTTCTAGAGATTCGTGCAAGTTCCATGGGTTTGTACCAGCATCTGTTTCCTTATTCTTTCGTTCGTGTTGATGTTAATTCGTTCATCGCATAATGGCTTCGCGAATTCTTTTCCGGGTCTTTTCCTCATCATCTTCGCCTCTAATGCGACGGGCTAGGCTACCATCACATCTTCCTCTCCGCCCATGTCCTAATCCTCCGCTAAAGTATCTCGCTTCTTCACGTCTGCTGCCTACGTTTCGCCATGTCCGATTGCAAAGTACTGTACCAGTGCCCCAGCAAAAGCAAAAACTGCAATGGTACTGGAAACTGCTCATCACTTTGGGGATCACTGCTGGGGCGACGACTGGCGGCGTTCTCGTCGCGGATAAATACTACATGGGAGGGATCCTTACGCGCAGCTTGCGAGCTTATGCGACACTCGCTCAGGTTGGCGTCGACTATAAGATGCACTCAGGCAAGAATCCCAAAGGAGCCCGCGTACCCATCGATGAGCTGCACGATCGAAATGCCAAGAGAGTCTGTGATATGATCAAAGCCAACGGTGGCATGTTCTTGAAGATTGGCCAGGCCATCGCCGTACAAAGCGCCGCTCTGCCGGAAGCGTACCAGCGAGAATTCAAGGATATGTTTGACGATACCGCGCAGGATCCCTGGGACGACGTACAAGCAGTTATTCGAGAAGAGCTTGGAGCCAGCGCAAGTGAAGTATTTGGCGATGGGATAGAAAGAGAGCCAAGAGCCTCCGCATCCATAGCACAAGTTCACTATGCGAAGCTGCCGGACGGGCGAGAAGTTGCTGTCAAAGTGCAGAAAAGAAATCTGGCACAGCAAGCATCCTGGGATCTGTGGACATTCAAGTGTGCAGCATACTGTTCTCTACACAACCTTTGACGCAGTGTACTAACCGGATATCTCAACAGGGTTCTTCTCGATATAGCCGGCAGAACGACAGATTTACAGATCCAAGGTCTCGGCGACTATATAATGAAAAGCATCATGCAGGAGACCGACTTCCAGAACGAAGCAGCAAACACGATACGTACTGCAGAGCTTGTCAAGTCTGATCCCAACCTGAGCGCACGTGTCTATATCCCCAAAATCTACGCCGAGCTTTCATCCAAGCGTGTTTTGACATCTGAGTGGATCTATGGGGCCAATTTATGGGATAAAGATACCATTACTGGCAAATATGACGCATCTGATGAAGCAAATTCAGCGATGGGCCTTAGAGAGGCAGATGTTATGACCACCGTGATTGATCTCTTCTCGTCGCAAATGTTCAAATGGGGGTTTGTACATTGCGACCCTCATCCCGGTAACATCTTTGTCCGACGCCTTCCGTCGGGGAAGCCGCAAATAGTACTTATAGACCATGGCCTCTATGTGTCTCTCACAGACAAACTGCGGCGACAGTACGCTCGATTCTGGAAGGCTCTCCTAATGGGTGACCAAAAGGGACTGGACGAGGTGTCGGCTGCCTGGGGAATGAAGACATCTGATGCCTGGGCTGACGCGTTCATGTCTCGCGAGAGGACACCTGAACCGGTTGGCGAGACGCCCGAGGAGCGCGCCGAGCGAGCCCTTAATGAAGCCGCTGGCTTTTTCGGCGAAGCTGGTCTATATCCCCGCGAGCTCTTATTCTTGGAGCGCAATCTAGCTCTTGTGCAGGGCAGCAACCGCTTTTACGATTCTCCCGTCAATCGCCTCGGCATGATTGGTCGTTCAGCAATGCAGAACCTGCGTGACGACAGCCAAGTGACGTTTCGGCAGGCTCTGAGCTCACAATGGTCCATGCTTGTGCTTGATTCCGTCTTTTACATAAGCCGCTGGAGGCAGTACATGGGATGGGGTAAAGGATTTGAGGAGGAGCTCAAAGAAGCAGAGGAGAGAATGGCTCAAGAAATGAAAGAATCCATGTCTGGGCTTTGGGAAACTGACGAAGAGACGCAGTGATCGGACAAGTTAGCTCTCCATTATACGAATAACGACTTTCCTTTGTTAAGCATCTGTATTTGGCTATTGGCGTATATGGACAATCCCTGTTCCGTCTATATGTATTATTACTACTCTCCACTAATTCTGTTACCATTCTTCTACGGCTTTAGCCAATTGGCATCCTCTACTAGCACTATACAGCAATACATTAATACTACTGCTACTACTGCTGCTATTATTATTATTCTTACTACTACTATCAAGCTATATCTAGGATTTAGTATCAGCTAATAGAAATAGAGTGCCAAATGACTTTTCCTTTAATAAAATTCCGCTTTTGTGGTTAACCTGTGTGTGTATTTTCATTTTGTGGTCCCTATCTTACTTCGCATCCCTTGCTAGACTCCCAAGTGACGCAGAGCCAGATGGGCCTGTTTCGAAAACGTAAGCCAGCGTCGATCTGGTAAGCCCCAGGACTCAGGCTTGCAACAACAGTTGTATTTGTGTAAGTGTAAAACTTTACGAATTTTGAGTAAGAAAAAAATGCGCGAGGGAATTAGTAGAGAATAAAATGTATCGTTCCAGTATACACGGAGGAAAGCCGTCGGTAAGGTGAGCATGTGGGTCGATGATGTGAGCTGAACGAAGCGCTTTTCTGTACGTGATTTCAAGATTCATTCTATCATCTAGCTATACAACTTAAGAGAGCACTTGCAAGAGCTAACTGATTTCATAAAAGACTATTACCGAAGCAAAGGAGCATCTATAGTCGATCGACTAAGCAATACTGCGGCAAGAGGAGCCATACGCGCACACACTTCGAAGTGACGCTCAATTGCGTCTCTAGGCGAAATCTAATTGTAATAATCAATTAATGCAGATTTAAATACACCGCTCCAAGCTCGACTTATTTCTCTCCAAACATTTCATTTCCAGCTTTCCACACAAAAACTCTGGTTCACATCGCGCAAGATGGCTGCATCCAAACTCCCAACGAAGGCTCTCGGCCGCAACGGCCCTCTTGTCTCTACAATGGGCTTTGGAGCTATGGGTCTAAGTGCCTCCTATGGATTTGGCGGCTCCGACGAAGATCGATTCAAAGTCCTTGATCGCGCTTACGAACTTGGTAGCACCTTTTGGGATACCGCAGATGTCTATGGCGACAACGAGGAGTTGATTGGGAAATGGTTCAAGCGTACGGGCAAACGCGATGACATCTTCCTCGCTACCAAGTGCGGCGGTGTGTACAATGCCTCTGGAAACTTTACTATACGATCAGATCCGGAGTATGTGCGAGAAGCTTGTGACAAGTCGCTCCAGCTGTTGGGCGTATCCCACATTGATCTGTTCTATCTCCACCGCCTCGATAAGGAAACTCCTGTGGAGTTGACAATTGGCGCTTTGGTGAAACTAAAAGAGTTGGTCTATTATATATGCCCAATGATAATTAGTATATTATACTGACAGATGAAATGAATCACAGGGAAGGCAAAATCCGACATCTGGGACTCTGCGAAGTCTCTGCAGAAACACTTCGACGCGCCCATGCCGTCCACCCAATCACAGCCATTCAAGTCGAGTATAGTCCCTTTTCGGTAGACATTGAACACTCTCAAGTCGGTCTTCTCAGCACAGCAAGAGAGCTCGGCATCGCTGTCGTGGCCTATAGCCCGCTCGGACGAGGCATGTTGACAGGGGAGATCAAATCTCCCGACGACTTTGCCGACGACGATTTCCGAAAGTATCTCCCGCGCTTCTCCAAGGAGAATTTCCCGAAGAACCTGGCATTGGTGGAAAAGCTTAGCATCATTGCCGCGAGCAAGGGTGTCACATCGGGGCAGTTGACTTTGGCGTGGCTGCTTGCGCAAGGAGATGATATCTTCCCTATCCCTGGGTGAGCATTGTTTTTTTTCTCCATCGCTCGTCGCTCACTATCATTCTACGTCGAATAGACAGGCTGACAGTAACTAGCACTAAGAAGATCAAGTACTTGGACGAGAACGTGGGAGCCGCCAACGTCACGCTCACCAATGATGAAGAGGCGGAGATTCGCAAAGCGATCGACGAGACAGAGGTCATTGGCGGCCGATACGCGGACGAGTAAGTCTAAGAATGCACCTCTTTTCGCGTTCATCTTGTCCTAACAAGTTTAATAGGATGTCGGGCCATTTATTCGCTGACACCCCTGCTCTTTTGACCTGAGATTGCATATGAATAGTACAACGGATACTAGTAGCGTGTGTGATGGCGATATATTCTGCAATACGAAACCAATATATAAATCTGCTATCTCGCTCTGATTTTACTTCCACGTGTGAAGCTTACAGCTGACTCAAGGCCAGTCACTTACACGATGCTTACCAATTTGGCAGCAATACTTGGTCCCTGTAGATCTCGGAAAATATCAAACAGACCCGAATCTTATTTCCATTGAGAGCAACACGCCACACGTTTAAAACAGGCGTATTTGGATGGTGGCGCACGGGCATTCACGGAGATAGATGGACGGTTCAAACTCCGCTGGAATATGTAGCGGAGTTCTAAACAGAATTTATAGTGGATGTAACTACATGTAGTCTGTCCATCTTCTTGTTATAAGCTTACCCTTACGAAATGAGTTTCGAATTTCTTGCTGCTTTACTTCGTCTTTGACCCAGTCGGCGCCATCTCGATTAGTGGAAGAATCCTTTCACCTTTGCTTATTCGATCAAAAAGTGGATCTCTTGGAGATATATGCTCACCTCATCATTCTTTAAGAACGGCCTGCTCACCACATCAACTTCTGCGAAGCGCCAATTGATCTGCTCTTGCTGTCCATTTGGTTTCACACGAAGGATTTCGCTGCCATCATCAAACATCCGTGGAGCTTCTACTTGGCATGTTACAGGTTGATGACGAGATCTGCATGCCTTTGACCATGGAGGATGTTGGCGCTATGACGACTGATGCCGAAAAGGCAACCGAAGAGCAACAGCTTGATCAGAGTGACATTGAGCAGGCCTTGGAACAGCACGAAGGGTCAAAATCACAAAGAACGAAGCCGCAAAAATTGAAGACATCCGAAAGGAGGCGTATTCAGAATCGCGCAGCACAAAAGACTTATCGTTAGTATAAGATCTAATCTGATCATGCTGCACAAGCAGAAACGATTCCGCTAATAAGTTGAAACATGCAGGAGAAAAGCAAAAGAGGAGACTGCAGGCTCTAGAATTATATGCTAAATCTTCTACGACTATTTCTCAGGATGAAGTACCCTTCTCCACCCCAACGTCCACTACTGGTGAAGATGTAGCTGGAATGCTTGGCATAGATTCGCCAATCATGGGGCTACCAGGTTTATTGCAACATCATAGTCTGTCAATCCCTGACATTGGCATAAATGATCTTGTAAGCTGCGATCCAAATCTCAATACATCTCTTTCAAGTCGTCTAGCCAGTGAATCCGTCCCTATATACGACGAATATGTACCGAGCAGTAATTTCCAAGTGGATAACGGTCGAAACTCCAGCAAATCATTTCAAGAGGAATTGTTCTCGGCATCTGAAAATAGACCCGCATCTATTCTCGGCTCAAATGTCATCACTCCAGAGAGCAGTCTTAGTTCATCTCATGCGCAGCAAAGCTATGGGCAAGCACGCGGTGACAGCGCGCCAAACGGCGACTCACATGACGGCAGCGAAGCGGATAGTTTACTTGCGCAGTTTCTCTTGCAAGACGATGTTACTCTAAGTATAGGTCTGCTTAGGGATATCCGGAAACACAAGATTACTCTAAGAGACGTGCTCAGGCTAGGCCTTCAATCGCTGGAGGGCAAGTCATCCAGCACAGCGGGGAGTGCGAGAGTGACTGAGAACTCATTACAGCAGCATGCATATTGTAAGTCTATAGTTATTGAATATCAGATGCTACGATTTGTTCTTCAACTAACAATCAGTCAGTGCAGCTCCCTGACCTCCACACTAACACAATTCGCCTCACGCAAATGTCATTTGTAGCAGCTGTTTTACACAATGCTTCCATGCTGGGGATAACGACATCCGAGATTTTATCACACGATACCGAGTCTTATTTTTGCATCAATAGAGGCGCACCAGACGCATCAAAGCATGCCACTCAAGAGCCCACGCTCGACCACATTAAAGAACATTTGAAGCCCACTCAGAACCAACTCACACATCGCCATCACCCGTATATAGACACTCTCCCATTTCGAGCATTTCGCGACAGATTAATAGCAGTGATTCACGCTCAGCCTCCTATAATCAATATGCCAGAGCTCTGTCACGATTTGCAGAGTGACGGGGTTATATGCTGGGGGTCCAATGCTGGGGCTGGCACTGGACACTCTGGAGCTCCGTGGGACATTCGAAGCTGGGAGGTGCGGCCATGGTTTTTGAAGAAGTGGTGGATGTTGACGGAGGGCGCTGATGGAGAGATGTATCAGCAAGCAAAGTGGTGGTGCGAGATGAGAGGCGAGGATATGCCAGCTGTTTGGTGATTGATGGAGCTTTCAATATCTATCTGCGATGCCTCATGAAGGGCAAAGTGTGTACAATATATGGGGTAACGATTATTTTTCCTTGTGGCCAGAAGAGCGAAGAAGATGCGCAGCTGTATACATGTATAAAGCGACTGAAAATACTCTGTATGAGTCACTACGTCATAGCTAGCGGCCGCCTAATTAACATGCGCCCAGAAAGCAAGACGAATATCACGACATCAATAATACGAGAGTAATAGAAAATTCTCAAATGAATCGTCAGAAAATCTTCAGTACATAATTAAATGCATTCAATCATCAATCTACACATTATCTATCCTGGCCTTCTCACAGCTTTCAACTCAATTGCAGCGCGACCCTGCCCCCCCATGCCCCACCATGGAGCTCGTAGCTGTCGGAAAAACCCGCCGATCTTCGGATCTCAACAGACAAAATCGCAAGAAAAAAAAAAGTCTCGTTGTTTGTCCTACTCGAAGCCAGCCAAACAAGACGAGAAAACGCCCAATTGACTGCGCCCGCCATGTCAATTCGCACGCTCAGAATCGGTACATACCCTCTCTCTTTTCTTAAATCCACATATAATATTTTCTTCTTCAAAAAGCACAGCTAACTGATCCATCCCAGGCCTCATCCCCGGTGACGGCATCGGCAAGGAAGTCATCCCCGCCGGCCGCCGCATCCTCGAGGCGCTCCCCGCGTCGCTCAAGCTCAAGTTCGACTTTGTCGACCTCAAGGCCGGCTTCGAGTCCTTTGAGCAGACCGGCTCGGCCCTGCCCGACGCCACCGTCGATGTGCTGCGCAACGAGTGCCAGGGCGCGCTCTTCGGCGCCGTCAGCTCGCCCACCCACGCCGTCAAGGGCTACTCGTCGCCCATCGTCGCCCTGCGCAAGCGCCTCGACCTCTACGCAAACGTGCGCCCCGTCAAGACCGTCTTGAACGCCGCCAAGCCCATCGACATGGTCATTGTGCGCGAGAACACCGAGGACCTGTACGTCAAGCAGGAGACGACGCGCGACACCCCCGAGGGCAAGGTCGCCGAGGCCATCAAGCGCATCTCCGAGAAGGCCTCGTTCCGCATTGCCGCCATGGCCGGCGACATTGCGCTGCGCCGCCAGAAGATCCGCGAGAGCTCGCCCAGCATCCACAGCAAGCCCCTCGTTACCATCACCCACAAGTCCAACGTGCTGTCGCAGACCGACGGCCTGTTCCGCACCGTCTCCAAGCAAGCCCTGTCCGACCCCAAGTACGCCTCCGTCGCCATCGAGGAGCAAATCGTCGACTCCATGGTCTACAAGCTGTTCCGCCAACCCGAAGACTACGACGTCATTGTTGCCCCCAACCTGTACGGCGATATCCTCTCCGACGGTGCTGCCGCCCTCGTTGGCAGTCTCGGTCTCGTTCCCAGCGCCAATGTCGGCGAGGGCTTCGCCATTGGTGAGCCTTGCCACGGCAGCGCTCCCGACATCCAGGGCAAGAACATTGCCAACCCCATTGCCACTCTGCGAAGCGCTGCTCTGATGCTCGAGTTCCTTGAGGAGCCCGAGGCCGCTGCCAAGATTTACGCTGCGGTTGATGCCAACCTGGAGGAGGGCAAGCTGCTCAGCCCTGACTTGGGTGGAAAGGCCACCACTGATGAGGTCGTTGAGGACATCCTGAGACGCCTATAAACGGTGTCCCACACTAGAAACAAAATAAATTACAATTGGCGTGCAAATGCATAGTATTATAACGACGTCTCTTCAGAAATTTGAGTAGCATTAGTAGTAAAATCACCGGGGCACGCCTGGACTGAAAAGAGATAAAGCAATTTTGAATAAAGAAATAAAGTAAAGCAATATTGATAGAAGAGATCCTTTTTCGTAAGCAACCAAGCAAATTTGGCATTCCAGCCGCAAGCAATCATTCCGATGGTATCTCCTTGGAGACTGTAGAAAGAAAAATCGCCGTAATAGCCCAAATATCCCAGTACCGAAATCCAGGCCGGGTATCAAATAGTAAAGTAAGTAAATATCACCAAATAGCGCCATAAAAGTCACATCATCGGTCCATATCCTGACGCATCTCAAATACCACGTCAGCAATCATCTCAACTCCCATAAAGAGGTAAAATGGAAATGAATCGCAAAGAAATGATAGCTTCCATGTCCCAACCCGTCTCAATCCGTTCCAATATTTTTTTTTTCTTCGCATTTTTCGCCCCGTCTTTCATTGCTTAGCAGCCATCTTCGCTCATATCTCAGTCTTTCTTGCGTGAGAAAATCTTTTGGAGCTCAACTTCGCTAATAGGGCGAGAGATGTGACCGCCATCTTGTAAAGTGCGGTCTACATCCTTGGCCTTTTTCTCTTGGAGAGTGCTGATACGAATACCGACGGGCTCTCTGGTATTAATCTTGACGAGATGGGTCTCTTTTTCTTGTCCAATCCTAACAACTCGGCCGAAAGCCTGCTGTTCAGCCGTCTTGTTCCACCACGGGTCGACTATAATCACGCGGTTGGCGGCGGTGAGGTTCAGCGACTGGCCGCCGCTCTTGAGAGTAGCAACCTATCCAAAACGTGAACTAGTTAGAAGATTCGATACAGAATGGGGACGAGACACCTTAAGAAATACTATAATAAACTCACCATAATTCTTACGCCGTCATCGTGTTTAAACGCATCCAAGGCTTTGGTCTTCTGCATCGATGTGAGACCCCCTAAAAAGTACACGAATCCAATTTCCAGAGTCCGGAGCATAAGGCCCAGCATCTTGGCGGTACCCCTGAACTGGGTGAAAACTGTGATGAAGAAGTGAAAGAAAAAGTAAGTACTCATCATAAGAAGAATAGTTCCTTGCTCTGCGAACTTACTGAGAATCTTGTCTTCTGGCGCTTCATGTCTCCATGTGAGAACAACCGCCATGACTGCGGTAAGCTTAGTACTTGGAAGTATCGGGAAATCGTTGCGAAACGTGCTGGCGATGAAGAAGCCATTACGATCATTGCCCAGCTGAATAGAACCATTGCAACTATCTTTGGCAGGATCGTGATATCCGCTGGTTTTCTTCTCGGCCACTTGTGTTATCTTCTGTATCGTCTGTATGCTCATTTGCTCGCCTACACTGAGCTTTGCCATACAATCTTCGTGAGGACAGTCCTAAAACATCTCATTAATGATCACTCCCTTTGAAAAGATGATCAAGTGGAGCACTTACAATCTGTCTATCGGCACCGATAGCTTGGTGGACGGCCGGGAGTATGCATGCCTGACAGAAAACATGCGAGCACTTGTTTCATTGTCAGCGTGAATCCCATGTATTCTTTTCTTCCCAGGTTCAACTTACAGTAGCTGAGATCATTGGTTCCTTTGGCGGCTTCGCAGTTTTGCACAGGAGGCAAGTAGCATCCCTCGCATTGCACTCCTCCGCCAAGATTCTCAAGAGTGGCATCAGGTCGAAATACTTACCAAAGAAAGTTTCTTTTCTCTCTTGAAGCATCTTTAGCCCGATTTTGTATTTTGTGATTTCATCGTCTGCTTTCATACCGCGTTGCATCTGGTCTAGTATAGTTTGCTTATTGCCGATGTCCTTCAACTCGCCCTGCAATGCGTCAAATTGTTCCATACGGAAATTCTCCCGGAGAAGTCGCTCAATACAGAATGTATGAGATGTTGATTGACGTTGCCTTACTTGACTGGCGCGTTGTAACAAACGTTCTGGTTGTCGCTTCGAGCTCTCTTTGGTCGCAGAGTTCTGTCGGCAGTCATTATCGCTTTCTTGATCTTCTGCGTTATCGGCATCTTCCACGTTTTGTATATCCTTCAAATCACCTTGTCCAAGTTCACCTTGCTCACAGCGAAGCTTCATTTCCTCGTAATGCTTGGTCACAGCTCTGGGGAGAAGTTATGAGTGTCCGTAATCATTTATACAGCGAAAAGAAACACGAGCGACAAAAGATTCCAAAATCTGAACTCACCCGAGAATGCAATGTTCTTCGTCTGACATTGGAACCCAAAGATCGATTTCTTTTCGCTTGGGGAGGTTAACGATTTGCCTTCCCAAAAAGTCATCATCTATTGTTCTAGGTCTCTGTTAGCTATCGTACGTTGCAAAGGTCTTTACAGGAAAAAGGCTCACCGTCGATACATGATGAGGCTAGTCAGTGCATCAAATTCAGCGTTTGGTTCATTCTGTAACGGTCAGTTCAACTCTCTTTAGTCGTCTTGCAGCTTTCTATCTTACCCCAAAAAAGAACGTCTTGAGAAACTTTCGGCGAGTTTCTGTCCAATCGCATTGGAGAAATCTCATGTAAGGATACATCTCTGCAGCTGTTAACAACCGTGCCTCTCTGCAATGATCCAGATTGGAACGCGTACCTTGGGAGCTATTAGCCAGCGGCGTACCAGATAAGGCCCATCGGTACTTTCCGGAAAGGTCACAGCAGATTTTGGATGCTAACGGCGAAAGGTAACAAGTTAGTAGCTCGGAATATCCCCAGTGTCGCAAAAATACGTTGCAACTTACTGCTACTCTCTGCATTTTTGATCGCATGGGCCTCATCCAGAATGATTCTGTACCAGCTGATTCGAAATAAAGGACCCAGGGCCTTGTCTACTTCGCGATGGTAAGATATACTGTCAGTTCCATGCTTTTCCGCAAGTTTCCTAAGCACAGTTTTGTCCGGATATTCTGATGCTAGCTGGTTGTATGTGGCGATCCTATTACGCATTAGACTCCACGTTCACAACATTCAATGCAAGCGACACTCACACAATAAGCTTCTTTTTACACCATTGCTCCACATTGTTGCGGCGCTTGTCATAGATGAGAGTCATATGATTGTATGGCTCACTCCAATGTTCCTATGTACTCGATTAGCTAGAATACTTTCCAATGTGGGTTTGTTTCAATATCCATACCTGCGCTTCTGCTTCCCACTGCAAGGCGATTTCTTTGCTGGGCACAACGACAAGAGTCGCTTTGCAAAATTTGGCGATATGCTCATCGTCCGCTGGATTACCAAGAATACAGGCGAGGCTCATGACTGTCTTGCCCATTCCCATGGTATCAGCCAATATTCCGCCAAATGGTTTATCTCGAGCCAACTCTCTCTTGAGCATCCAAGCAACGGCTGTGAGTTGGTGGCTGCGAAGTGACGCTTGCATTCCCTTCAGCTTCCAATTGCCGTTATCAGCTTCAATTCTTTTGTAGCCGAATATGCTTTTCGCCTCTTGCAGATCTTTTTTCTGCGTTGTTTTTCGCCTTATATCGCAGTTTTCAGGTATTCCGGCCATGATTTGAGCCATTTGATCTGCATGAGTCTTAGCTTCGATAGACTGCGCAGGAAGTAATGGGTGATCATTGGAGGTTGAAGTGAAACCTTCAGATATGACAAAAGTATTTCCGCTTGCCGTCTTCAGAGCCTTGGAAGGTCTTGAATCGTTTCCAGCGAGCTTGCGCTTGCGCTTGTGCGAGCGTTTTGCGGCTGACGGCTTTCCGTCGTCCTCCTTTTTCTGAGCGAGCTTTTTATCGTCTTTCTCATGGAATCGAGTAGCGTATTCTCGTGCTGTTAAGGCCAATTTTCGTCGAGGCTTGTTGCTCTTCTTCTCTGTGGCTGAGTCGGAGTTTCGTGGTGGAACTTCGCGCTCGCACTCATTATTCGAAGAGGTGCTGCTTTCATCGTCGTATTCAGAACCTTCGTCTTCTTCGGCGACATCTGTATCGCTGTCTTCAGATTCTTCGAACTTTTGTGATTGGAGATTATCCAACACTTGGGCAGCGATAATATCTACTGTCGGTAAAGTATCCTCTTCAGAGTTTGCCTCGGGTTCGAATGCTTGTAGCGTTTGCTGCTCCTCGTCCTCCGTGGTATGGTCATCTTTCATTGCATAGCCATCCTCCACGATGTGATTATCGCTCATGGCATGACTGTCCTCTTTATCGTGATTTTCCGCCCCGCCAATGTTATTCTCCACCATTTGGCTACCATCCATGATATCTTGACTGTCCTTTGCGAATAGAGAGGATCCCACAGAGGGCTCCTGTTTGAGAATGCCTTGCACGTGGAGCAGCGATATCGAATCATCATGATCATCGCTGGTAGGAATAGCATCGTTATGCGGTCCTAAATCCTCGGCTTCGCCATCGTTTGAAGCAAGTTTATCTGAGCTGCCATCGATAGGCTTAAGTGATTGGCAAGGTGAGAGCAGCTGCCGAGGTGGCGGCTGAGGAGCCTCTGGCACTAGTTCCACGCTTGAATCCATCTCGAGCGATATCTATGCCATGGTTAGCCTGACTAGTCTAGTTGCATAATGAAAAGTGAATCTGTAGAAGAAGATACCGTAAATGAGGCCTAGTTGCGGCTCAAGAAAGAAGTCACCTCACTTCCAGCAGCAAGAGCAAGTGATTGAAGACTTGTGAAGCTGTTGTATATGTTTGACGGCGACCCCAGCTTAGAGAAGAAACCACAGATAGAATCTAATGAAAGACTGATCAATGTTTGGATGAAGAAGGATGAAGAATTCAAACTGGTGACCCGACGAAGAGGTTTTAAATAGACACTTCGCTGAGGGCGGTGAATTATTGCCAGGCAGCTGCACCGAGGAGTGAGGAGAGCAGGTGTTCTCTGAAAAGCAAGTACCTTTCGAAATGCACATCTCAGCTCTGCATGCTCAAATCAGCAGTGCCAGCCGTGCACAGAATTTTCGGACTACTTGGCTAAATGGGAAGGCCCGCGCATAATTCTCGCGAGAGACGGTCTTCACGTGCAAATCCTTTTGAAAGCACATACGATGTGGTATTCTTACTTGAAGTTTTTACAATCTGTCTTCGCTTCCAACGGTATATGGCGTCGCCGATATTTATCACGCTTTGAGCTTAGATATATTTTACAAGCGAGAGATAATAACAAGAAATAAAATGACTATATACACACTGACTTTTTCCTGATATCTGCAAGATGTGCCGCCAGGTAATAATAGCACCCGAAATATCTGCAGCTTTTGCTTCTTCTGTTGGTGCCACAACTTCGGCCGCCTAATCCATATCCGCGATTGCTGCCACGGCCGCGATTGCTGTTATCGCTGCTATTTTTGTAAATCTTACGGTTTCTAATGACGGATTTCTTTATCCCTTTTATGCCGATAGACCTAATTTTGTATGTACTTCTATTTCGCTGTCTCTGTTTGTTTGTCCTCTCCTGATCTTTCTTCCGTATATGTCGACGTCGCGACACAGGGCAAGCTAGCATCGCGTGATTCAAACTGGGATAGCAAGCTAAAACAGCCATATGTAGACATCATGAAATGTCCTTCTAAGGATTAGAGTTTGACTTGGTTCAATTTAATACTATATTTTTGTGCTTATGTGCTAATTCTCAAGATAGTGGCAATTATACGATGACACTTGTTCAAATAGGCGTTCAGAGCTGCGGCGCAACATGTAACGCCTCTCAATGGCCGAGATTGCCTCTCCATCTATCATGTTTCTCATATCTGATAAAAATCGAAACAGTAACTCCAACTCCAAAAGCTTGCTGCTACGCAATTGCCTGTACAGTAACCTGTTAGCTATCTGGCCTTGGTGTGTCGCTCAGCATCATAGAGGTGCATATTGTGTCTACATCTTTATCCACCTCCTCTACAAGTACACATGATGTGCAGTCGTATGATGCAGCCTGCCTCATCTGAAGGCATCATTGTTCGGATTAAATGCCGTTTGAGCATTTCATCAATCTCATTCACTGCCATCCTATTCAATTTGCACCCGCCGCGTTATTCCATGCTTGGACTTTTACCTCGGGAATGCTGAGCCTTCTCTTCGATACATATAGTGCCCCTGCCGAATGCCGCGGTTATAGAGAAAATAGAATTGAAGGTCTGCTTCTGGCAAGAACTTGCATCGTTCGGCCGCTAATCTCGTCAAACTCGTTAATCTTGTCAGCTAACCTAGCGTCAAGGGGCCACATTGGAGATGGTGAATCTCAAGAGCGGTGTTAACCACTTCCCCAGACGAACGCATTGCTCAGCTTCGTAGATGTCTCGGGATTTGTGCTATAAGCATTTATTCCCCAGATTTTCAAGTATTGCCGACGGTACTTGAGCTTGGCTATCTGCAGAGCTAACTGTAACTCCAAAATATTGATACAGGAGTTCCACACGGAGATTAGAGCCACCCCGCAAAATCCTGCTGCTACCCGATATGGACTTGGAGTATCTGCACAAGTCTCAAAGACTATTCACCTCTGGGATATACATTTCGGAATGGCGTTCTTTATGAGACCGAACCGAAGACGGAAGCAGCTCAAAGCGAAAGACGAGTGCTTCTATACAGCCCTATAAATCCTAGTAATAATCCGTCCTTAGTCACAATTACCGACATCTCGCTCTTTTTCCACTGTCGGTCTCCGGTCGAAAATACCGAGTGCTACTCTACAGGGATATCCCAAAGATGGATCCCGGAGACTAAGCTGAGCTATCATGTGAATGTACGGCTTTCCAAACGACGCCGTGCACAAGACTGGGTGAATATAGCTGCCACCCCTATTTTAATCGGCGCGTCGAATAGCCACAAGTGCGAACTAATCGAGTTAATCACGTTGTGTGTGCTCCCTCCATCCTGTGTCGCGTGCGGTATTGGGAGCGATGAAGTGATGCGATAACTGGATGTATCGATGCCGGAGTGAATGTCGCTTAGACTTGACGTCGATGTTGATATCGCTAGAGTTTGGGAGGTAGTGGTCGAAACTCGGTGATGGTAAATTCCTCGGAGCAAGCTGCCTTGGATTATTTAAAGATACTCTTCGCTCTCACCTTTTATAAACATCAGTCTGTGAAATAATAGCCCTATGCATTTCACTGCAATGGATGACCTACTCGACTTCGTTCTCGCTCGCATTTACCTCGTTGGGGCTGTTGTGGTGGCGGCCCTAGCTTATGTGAGTTTCCGATGTCGTTCGTTTGTGCAGACAGTTTGACATTTGCTAACAGTCGGACAAGCTGACCTTTTATTCCCTTCGAGACCCACTATCCAAAGTTCCTGGGCCTTGGTACACCAAATGGACTTCAGTCGTGATCAAGTTTCACTGGCTGAAGGGCAATCGAGCAAGTTATCAGCATAGCTTGCATCAGAAATACGGCACGTTTTGAATTACTATCAACATCAATGTGTTCTTATAGTGAAAATTGCTAACATAAAGTTCATCATGGCAGGTCCCGTCGTTCGTCTCGGCCCTAATGAAGTCGCCGTAACCAACATCGAAGCCGTCAAGAAAATATACAACGCCAGAGAGACCTTCCGCAAGACCTCCTGGTATAAAGACCTATCTGTCACAAGCGAGAATGTTTTCAACACCAACCGCACCGAGCTGCACCGCCGCCTACGAAGGCTTCTCTCAGGCTCAATGTCTGAAACCTCGCTGGCGGCTGTAGCACCCCAGATCCAAAGGACAGTTGACCTGATGATAAAAAGAGTTGGAGAAGAGATGGAAAGAAGAGGAGCAGCAGATGTGATCAAGTGGTTTCTATTTATGGCGACAGATGTCATTGGAGAGCTTTCATTTGGAGACTCGTTCCGAACGCTGGAAATTGGTGAACACAGCGAATATACGAAAGACCTGGCAGAACTAGGCTATCTTGGTGCTGTTCGCTCTGCTTTTCCGACACTTATCGCGATGGCAAAGTATATGCCCATTTCTTATTTCAGACGTCCCCTTCGAGGCACGAAAAACATGATTCGTTACGCGGACGAATCGATTGCGCGCTACAGGAACCTGTTGGACTCTGACCCAACCAGTGTTAAATGGACGCTCTTCACCAAAGTTTTCAAAGACCAAGGCAAAGAAGAAGGTCTCAGCCCAGTGGAACTCAGAGGCAACGCGTCGGCATACATTGTTGCCGGCAGTGATTCCACCGCAGTCACCCTCACTTACCTAGTCTGGTCCGTCTGTCGCGATCCGAAAGTCAAGGCCGCCCTTCTGGCGGAGCTCCAAACACTCCCAGACGACTTTACCATCGCAAATCTTCGCGGCATGAGCTACTTGAACGCAGTAATCGACGAGACCATGCGCCTGTACTCCGGCATCCAGTCCGCGCTGCCTCGTTGGGTGCCCGAGAGCGGTGACAACATCGCCGGATACTGGCTTCCCGGCGGCACAACCGTTTGTGCTCAGGCGTACAGCATGCATCGCAATCCCGAAGTGTTTCCCAAACCCAATGTCTTTGACCCTTCGCGATGGGAGATGCCAACAAAAGATATGAAAGATTCCTTCATGCCCTTCGGAAGCGGAGCACGAAGTAAGTTTCTTTGTTTTCAACATGCTCTTTGTAGGCGCTGACTCGGAGATAGTTTGCATTGGACTTCATCTGGCACGGATGGAGCTGCGCTATGGAGCTGCTCGCTTTTTCTTGACGTTTCCGGAAGCCAAGGTGTCAGCGCTGGAGGGAATGAATGATGGAGATATGGTGCCGAAAGTGTTTTTCTTTACTGAGCCAAAGGCCAAGCGATGTTTGATCCAGAGGCAATGAAAACAAGATGCCTTTATCAAAGCTATACGCTTCAAACACCGCTTCGGAACAGTACCACGCAGGCTTTTGTGATTATTATACAAGTACATAGCAAGTGGTCATAGGAAAAACTGAATATTGTATGCATAATTCAGTGTAATTTCTCCTATTCCTGCGAACTGGTCCTAGTTCGGCCAAGGCGCCTTAGGCCTTACCGAAATACAAGTGAAACAAAGAAGCCATGTGTGGTCTGGTCGAAGGCCCGAAACCGAGTCTTTGTTGCATACGCATCTAATAATATCTCAAGCTAGAGACGTAAAGCAGTAAGTGATCCTCTTTGATGTTGGTTACAAGCAAATTTAAGCTTGCTTCCTAGGCCAGCTTCATTTAGACAAGGGCTTGAGAACGAAACAAAAAGCAGCGTTTCGCCCAAAGGCTTATTGAAGATTGCCATCCATGTTTCAACTGTTGAGTTTTGCTTTTGCATTTTTGTCACGCCATCTAACACCCGAACATACTTCTGAAGCACCTTTAGGCTGTGATCATCATGAACGACCAAAACGACTCGTCTTATGAATCGGACCCCGCAAACACCTCGATAGATGGCGCGCCCTACTCTGTTCCGGCTACAGAGTACTCGACGGCTTGGGCATGCGAGTGGACTAACCCAGAGTTTGGTATATGCACCGAAGCAGATTTGCAGTGCCTACGACACGTCAACTGTTCGTATCTGTCCTCGGGAAGACCACCAACGCTGCTTGCTCTGAAGCAGCATGCTCAGGCTCTTACGAATCTCATCAAGAAGATATGCGTCAGCAATACATTTGGGGTCGTTGATGGAGGGAACAAACGACAGCTAGCCTTTGAGAAGGATGAGGCGTTTGACTGGTTGACAAATCTCGATAAACCCTACACAAACGATGATGAAAGCCACCATTTGCCTCTATGGGTCGTAGCAAACCAGATTGAAGACGAGGATGAGGAGATGGGAGTTGAGTGTCACTGCCCTCTCAAAGTTGCAAGAGATTTCGGGCCTTTGGATGACAGCAAAAGTACACGCCGACCGTACAGCAGTCACCACAATCTGGTAATGCATGCAAATGCCTGTCTCGAACTTCTGGATCACGAATATGGCGCAACAGGAGGCCTCCTTTCGCTGCTCCCATCAGGGAGTGAAGAGGATCATGATCAAATGCAGAGTGCTCGTAACACCATCCTGGGCCAGTGGCTGCTTCATCACCAGCACTTGATTGCACGTATGCATGAGCTCGAAATCAACTACGGAATGGGCCAGGACCTCCTCGCAGGTGAGGCCGTCGTGCCCATGCAGATGCTCAGACGCCTTAGCCCCGAAGAACGAGCCAAAGGTCGTGAGCTGGTCCACGCTCAAGACCGCTTTGTTCTGGCCAACGCTGGCGACGATGTCTTTGAAATGCTTCATCGCTTGATGGACAAGGCTGAGTCGAAGATTGAAGAGAAGGAGAAGATATGGTGGGAGTCTGGAGCTAGCGGCGAGCGCATGTGGATGGAGGATCGAGGCGGCGAGTATTATTCCCGCGGCTTGGTTCCTGTCGACCTCATGACGCGATTTGTGCGTCTCAAAGAGCATGGAGATCGGTCCACCATCTTCGTATTGCCAGCAATCGAGCAGCATCCGGCCATGGCTCGAACACGCGAGAGGGAGAGCCAGCCAACGGTGGTCTCGGTGGTGGCGCCATCTTGGCCAGAGCGAGTATCTGACATCGAGCAGCGCGTCAATGCTCAGATGGAAGAAAAGAAAGAGCTGGAGGACGCCAATCGTGCACTGACCAGAGACAAGATGGAGATGGAGGCGCAGATGGCCACGCTTTTGGCCGATCTGCGCAAGACGAGATGTGAAGTCAGGTTTTACGAGGGCACGTCGGAAGAGGGAACGAGAGGCAAGATTGTAGCTGAGATGGCGGCTATGAAGCGCCAGATGGCCAAGCTGAGAGAGGCGCTGCCCCAGGAGTATCACCAGCTCTTGGAGGCGGAGGCTGAAGCTGAAGACTGAGTTGAGGCCGAACGTCAATGGTTTAGCAGTATCGGGGCAATCTTTCAATGCTGAAGAGACAAGGCAAGCGACGAATCATATCGACTACCTGGATTAGCCCGTTGACCGTGCGTCTCTGAACTCTCCGATACGATTGTTGTTGGTTCGTGCATGATGGTGTGCATTATGTGTACATGTAGCCAGGCTAGTGGTTTGTAAGTATGTTAGCGGTTGTAGGTAGCGTCGTTATTGATAGCGAGTACCTGTAGCGAGCATGGCGGCTGCAGCTGATATCGAGGTGGCCGTTATCAGCGGAACAGCGGCCCCGCTACAGGCATTAGCTCGAAGGTTTCTAGAATATCGATCCAGTACTCCAGTTCATTTGCTCCATTTCCTCACTCTGATCTAAACAGCATCCACCAACACCGGTGCCACTCTATGCCACTGACTTGCGCCTGCGGAGAGGCAGCAGCGTGCAGATGCCTCTCGATTGAAACGATTCCGGCACAGTCCTGCAGCCCTCCTGCAAGGGACGTGTTTGCTTGTCGTCTTGTCCCGTCTCATCTCGTCTCGTCTCCTCCAGCGCCATGGCATCTCCATTCGCGAGGCATTGTCTTCTGCAGCGAGCTCCATTCAAGTCCCGCTGGACTTGGACAGCCAAGAGACACCTTCATCTCGCCCCACCGTTTCTGCTGGACGACTACACGCCGCGGTATCTTGGACTGTCTTCCCGAGACGCCGCCAAAAAGCGCTCGCTGGCCTATGCCCACCTCCGCAACTGCAATCTTTGCCCCAGGCTGTGCGGCGTCAATCGCTACGAGACCACTGGAATGTGCCTCATTGGCGACAAAGCAAAGGTCAATGTCATAGCGCCGCATTTTGGCGAAGGTCCGTAGGCGTCTGCCTTCTTTTGAGACACCAAAGTGAAAGAGGCCGCTAACAAGAGCGCCAAATCACAACCTTAATCCACGTGAGGTGTAAAGGCTGCTTGCTAACGTAGCGCCAGAGCCGTGTATCCAGGGGCACAATGGCAGCGGCGCCGTATTCATGAGTGGGTGCAACATGCGGTGCATCTTCTGCCAGAACTACGACATCGCGCACCAGCGTAATGGGATGGACCTTACCCCGGAGGAGCTAGGCCAGTGGTATCTCAAGCTCCAGGAGACGGGCAATGTCCACAACATCAACATCGTCACGCCGGAGCACGTGGTGCCTCAGGTGGCGCTGAGCATCCTCCACGCGGCTGAGCTAGGGCTGAAAGTCCCGATCATCTATAACACCTCGAGCTACGATTCACTAGCATCTCTGGAGTTGATGGATGGACTAGTTGATATCTATCTAGCAGATTTTAAGGTTTGGAAGCCGAGCACATCCAAGAGGCTGCTCAAGGCAGATGACTACGCCGAGACTGCCAAGGAGAGCATCAAAGCTATGCATAAACAGGTCGGCGACTTGTGCTTCACCGGAGACGGCATCGCTAAAGTGGGCTTACTGGTTAGACACTTGGTAATGCCAGGAAAAGAAGCCGAGGGCGCCGAGATTATGAAGTTTCTGGCGTCCGAGGTGTCAACCGATTGTTTTGTCAACATCATGGAGCAGTATCACCCCGATGCGCATGTTGGAAAGAAGAGGAAGCGGAGAAGAGCACCTGCAGCTGAGGGAGAGAAGAAGACTTTAAATCTGCCAGAAGACGCAGACGAAGAAGTTCGGTATAGCGATATCAATCGACCAGTTACGAGCGACGAGGTGTCATCAGTGCGAGAAGCCGCCATGGGAGCTGGTCTGTGGCGGTTTTGCGACCCTCCGAAGCACGACGGCTTTGCCATCTGACAGCAGAAATTACATGTTTGCGTCTCTAGCTTCGCCATGCTGGCTATACGGTGCCGAATTTAGCAGCAGATGTGCATATTCTATCGTCAATGCTTTCATCCCACCCTTCTTCGAGTTAATCTACACACACAGAGCCAATGATGTGCCAAGATTGTCGGGGCTCATTGTCTGCTAGTTTGCTAGAGAGCGATCCGGATTCGATCTTGGTTCGAGTGGCGTTCGAAGACAAGAAGCGATGAGAGCACGGCCCACGAAACGCCACTATACTTCTTTGTTGGTTGCCATTGCCCGTATGGCCGGAGAAAAGCCTTCTGCAGCGTAGAAAAGTCTCCATCCAAATAATCAAGACGTTTGTTGGTGGCAGGAGTGGCGGCATTTAATATTGGATCTTGAAACAAACAAGCCCGGACCTAGGCATTGCGCTGAGTTTTTGGCTGAACTCTCGTGAGAACAATAGCTTCGAAGCCACGCGAAAATGGTCAGCTGCTTCCAGGCCTGGTAGATGCTGATTTTTAGTCCTGGCATAGGACTCATAAACTGGAGATATTCTGCCATCATCCTTTCTGACGACGTACTGCTGCATCATCAAATATTCATCTCTCTACTATCAATCTATGGATATGGAACCAATTACAATCCCCGAGAAATCGGTCCGAAGACTTGCTCGAGATTTGTCTCCGGCATCATCATCTCCATCGTCCCAACGTGCAAACTCATTCGACTCCCGTTCATCCATGTCAACATTACCTTCTTCAAGAGGAAGCTCTCCTGATGCTGAAAAAGACACCAGAAGTAGCCCCCGCTGCAGAAGCAAGCGCAACTCTCAACATGCGACGCCAGCTTGGAATCTCATGTTCCAACCTCGGTCCTATGAAGAGATTTATTCTGAGCGAGCATATCTCACAGCGTCCCTCCAAAGGCACTCACTCACAGCGATCGAGTTGATCCATCAATATTCCTTGATAGAGGAAGAACTCCATGCTCAAGAGCATATTGGAAAGCAGCGACGGAAGCTCCGCAAGCGAATGAGTTTTATCAAAGTAAAGTTGGCTGAGGCGGCTCGCCAAGAAAAAGCAATCATTATTAGGCTAGGCGAGTTACAGATGGAGCAACTGGGAAGAGATACTTGGGACCAGGTACAGCAGCGTCGGATGTTTTACCCATTGACGCCATCATCCACGCCACGCACGACACCGCTCAGTGCAGGTTCAAAGGAATTTGTTCCGTCTGAGACTCGATCTGAGAATTCCCCAGGTCATATCCAGCCCTGTCCATCCGAGGCCAAGCCCAGAGTCCTTGACACAGTGGTTGAAGTACAAGAAGGAGAGGAGGAGGATGCCAATGAGATTATCATCAACACCGAAGAGGAAAACCGACTTGAGCCCAGAGACTGATACCGAGAGCGAAGGTTTGTGCAATCATGACCTGGAATACACATACCAAAAGAGCGATGATGCAACGGAAATTTCACAGCTGCGTCCATCCCATGTGAGGGAAAGGCTATCGTCATGTCTTGAGGAAAAGCGCATGAGTCTTCCGACTCTCAGCTTCGTTTGGCCAGGCGCTTGAATGCAGTGGAAAAGCAACAAAAAAAGGCATCAGCAAGTTACAAACAGAATTGCCCGCTGAAAGAAAGTAAAATGACAAAAAAGGAAAACAAAGGTTGGAGCATCCATCAGGTTAATGTTTTGTATAGTTTGGCATATCACATATCACATTTGCCGTGCATTAGGAGAATGAAATAATAGTATAATATGGCATAAGGAACGCAAGGGACTTGTATCAACAATTTGACTGGGTGGATATTAACAATTAATTCTGGAAAGGCTGTCTATGTTGTAATTTATTGTCTATGCAATTGCACAGTGTCATTTAATCTCATTGTTTCTCCGGCTTTCTTTTCCTCCTCTTTTCTACGCAAACTCTCCAAATTGCCCGTCGTCAAATCCCAAATTCTTTAGCGACTTTCTCTTTTCTTTGACATCTGAGGTTTTCGGCGGTGGCGGCAGAGAAAACGAAGCTCCCGCTGCCGCAGCTGGTGGAGGAGGAAGAGCAAACGACTGCAGATCCGCTGAGCTGGAGGAGGTAGATTCCTCTGCTGGCTGAGGCCGCCTTCTGCCAAACTTTGTGCCGCCGAGGTTTACTGTAATGGTTTCGCCCTCTTTCAAGCTGTAGTCCTTTGTCTCCGTCTTGGCCTTTGCCTCTGTTGCGCCGTGGCTCTGCTCCGCCTCCCACCCCAGGCTCCGCCTCGCCTCTTGCAGCGACACGGCCAGGTCGAAAGCGTCGGAGCGCTCCTCGAAGCCAATGCCCAGCACTGCTTTCCGTCCCTGCGGATCCTTGACTGTGACGGCGAAGAAGCGGCTGCTGTCGATGACGGGCTCGACGGCGCTCCGGTCGTTGTACGGCGAGGCGGCGAAGAGCTGGCCGGTGGACGGGTCTTCGAGGACGAGGTCGATCTTGACGCTGGACGCGGCGTCGGCGTTGTCAAAGGACGTTTCGACGACGCGCAGCCGCGCGGTGAAGATGTGACGGGCGGGGTCTTCGGTCCAGGAGGCGGCTGCGTGGCCGCGCATGGACGTCAGAGGCGGGATGTTGTAGACGTGGACGGTGTTGGCGACGAAGAGGATGCGCTGGATGGCGTCGCCGGGGAGGGGCTGGCCGGTGGTTGGGTCGAGCGCCTCCATGGTTTTGCGGATGAAGAATTGCAATTGATCGTGTAGAAGATGCGGAGAGAGACCAGATAAATAAAGTAGATCTAACAAAGAAAAGATGGCGCTTGCTATTGAAAGAGTAACGGTGTTTGTTTGTTTTGGTGGTGATGGAGACGGGGACTGGAGATTGGCGGTGGGGGATCCAAGTATAAGAAGTACCGCCTTTGTATGCTTTGCTGCCGTGCTTGCTGCAAGTACATCCAAGAACAAAGAAGGCATGGAGATCAAATGCTCTCAATCTCGGCCTCTATTGGGCGCCATCTGCCCGACCAGTAATGGGTGCTGCCGAGGACGTTCTTAGTGAAGCTGCTATGGGGACCGACCCTGAAAATGGCGGATTGGAGGGGTCGAGCTACAGGGGCATTCCAGTGGCTGAGTGGCGCTGCAGGAGGGAAAAGTTACCCCGCCATTTGTGGCTTGAACTTTTCAGATGCTGCGATCTGGGATAAGGTTAAGCTTTGCAGTCTTTTGAGTCATTCTTGGAAAAAAGCATATAGATACAGGCTCTCTCTCCATCGCTGCGACAAACAAACATCTGCTCTCCGATACTTCTTCTCTTGCAGCACACATCTCATACACTGCTACCACATCAACTCAGAGAATGGCGAACGACTCAGAAGCTGGTATGCAATACCTGCGCGCATGCGACGATGTAGAACCAATACTGACTGTCGCATTCTAGCCATTGCGCAGCCCTTATCGACTGAGCTCCCTTTGCGAACACAGCCTGACGATTCTACCTTTGAGTAAGTTATCCTCTTCGCTTCTATCGAGACTTGGCAGCTCACTTCTAACCCTCGACAGCATCGTCGCCACCTACAGAGACCTCCTCGCCTCCGACCCCGACCTCACAAAACCCGTCGCCGCCATCGAATCTCTCATCGCCCTCCTCAACACCGTCCCCTCCACCACCGTATACGAGACGCTCGACACCGTCAAATCCCACTCCGACCTCCTCAAGGCCTCCGTCGAGAACCCGCTGCCCCTGCAGGCGGGCACCGACCTCTTCCTCCAGTACCTCGTCTCGTCGCTCAAGCAGCAGGACGGCAACTTCGACGCCGTACGGCAGCACCTGCTGCGCAATGGACGCCTGTTTGCGAGTAGGGCCATCGCAGCCAGGAACGGCATTGCGGAAGCGGGCTGGCGCTTCGTGCGGGAGGGCAAGTGCGTGCTGACCCACGGCGCGTCGCGATCGGTGACGGGGCTGCTGGAGCGGGCGGCCAAGAACAGCGAGGGCAAGTTCCGGGTCGTGTACGTGCGGGACGAGGTGCGCGCCGAGGAGAGCGACCGCGTGGTCAAGGAGCTGCGGAGCAAGGGCATCCCGGTTGCAGAGATTTCAGAGGCGGCGGTGGCACATGTCATGGGGCTGTTGCGACAGGTTCACATGGTGTTTGTGGGCGCTGAGGCTGTGACGCAGAATGGGGGCATTATTTCTCGTATTGGCACTTTCCAGGTGGCCAAGTTGGCCTCGCAGGCCAAGATTCCGTTTTACGTCGCTGCCGAGACACACAAGTTTGTGCGCAAGTTTCCTTTGGACCAGAGGGATATTGGATATAAGCAGGAGGTGCTGGATTTCTCGGCTACGGAATCAAGCAAGCAGCCCAAGGATGCTGTTGACTACACGGTGAGTTTCATGCTTTTTTTTTTCTATACTTGGTTTATGATGGAGTGACTAATGTTTGTGTGTGTGTGTGTGCTATAGCCCCCGGAACTCATCTCAAATCTGGTCACGGAAAACGGCGTTCATTTACCCGGTTATGTATTTGAGCAGCTTCTTGATATATACGGCAGCTTGAACGGCTAGAGTCGGCGAGAGAAATATATGAAATTCAGAGCCTTTGATTGGTCGATGTCGTGGACTAGATGTCTGCCAGGGGTAGTGTCATGTGTTATGTATAGATATATCAGCGGGTAAGAAAGTTACCAGTTCAGGTAATAGTATTGATATGATTCTATCAATACGTCAGGTAATAGTATTGATAAGATCCATCAATACTATATGTTTACAAGCTCTTTATTGAGGCTGTGCCAATGATGACCCTTTCTCAAAGAGTGAGGGGAGTGATCGAGATCGAGTCATTCTTTTGTTGCAATGTTATATACTCCGATCCCAGCGATGCCTAGTGACTATATTTGTGTCTGACCTCCCTCGTTTTTTCCCCTGCAGTAATTGCAAGGCATGGCGCTTCTTTATATAGGGGGTTAACGCCCGTTGCGGGAACAAGGGTAGAATAAGGTTCACGTCCGTGTTTTCAACTGCTCGTCATCCGATAGGTCAGCCGGCTGACAAGAATTACCCAAAACGTGGAGACTGTCCTCTCATCGGATGGCACCGATTAGGGAATTGCTATTGACATAGTAAATATATTGCCATTATGTGATAAAAGTCCTTGATTCAGTGTCTTCTCAAAATGTGACATCTTTATTGGCTCTTGCGGGCGTATTGAGGCTTACACATCAGGGGTGAGAATCAGGTTACATCGCCAGTCGTACAAGGATGTTGCTTGCCGAATTGATAACATGATGTGCATAAAACATGAATCACACTAAGTCCGATCACTTGAATAATAGATTTTGGGGGCTTTATACCAGTATTACTATATCTCAGATACATATGCCCGTGTCCGGAAACGTCTACCCTAAGCGATAGGACTCAGTGATTGGAATCATTTACTTGGTATGAAGCGCCCATACATGTTCGTGATAATTTTAGATCATGTAGGTACCCGTAGATAAGCGTAGAGGCCATCTCATGATGATGAGCATTTGACTGAACAATCCAAGCAATTGCTATTTCTGCCAAGTTGCTCGTCATCCCTATCAACAGCTCTTTCTATAACACATGGGGCCTATATAAAGACATTACGTTGCCGCAGTCTCGGTTTATTCGAGCATCATCTCATTCATTGTCGATAGATATCAACACAGACATCATGGCCAAACTCTCTTCTTCTCCGACTGGAACCAAGTCTGTCTCTCGATGGATAAACCAAGTATCTGCCCTTGCTCTTAGAGCTGTGCGAACTGTTTCACGGGAAGCTGGTCATGGCAAGATCGAGGTGGAGAGAAATCTCAATGCTCGTGCTGAGAGAATCCCAGAACGAAATGAAGTACAACTTTCACAAACATCAGAAACGTTGCGCCAATACAACGCAAACACTACAGGCGATGACCTGCTGAAAGATCTCTCGGGAGAAATTCAAGGAAAAGTCATTGTCACAACCGGTGTCACTCTGGGTTCTCTCGGCGGCACTTTTGTTCAGACTATAGCCAAAGCTCAACCTGCGGTCCTAATTCTTGCGGCACGCAGCTTGGACAAGGCGCAAGCAACCGCTGATGCTATAAAGACGGCTTATCCCAATATTGATGTTCGCAAGGTTCAATTAGACCTGAGCTCTTTCGCCGCAGTACGGGAGGCCTCCGCTACCATCAATTCTTGGACAGACATCCCTCATATTGATGTCTTGGTCAACAATGCCGGCATAATGGGCACAGAATTCAAGCTCACTGTTGATGGTTACGAACAACAATTCGCGAGCAACCATCTTGGCCATTTCCTTTTTACCAATCTCATCATGGATAAACTATTGGCCTCTAAAGCGCCAAGAGTAGTCAGCGTTTCTAGCGAAGCGCATCGTCTCAGCCCCATCAGATGGAGTGACTCTAATTTTAGTGTTTGTTTCTCTTCCCCTTTTTCACTAATCCACAGTTTATTTACTGAGTTTTTGTAAACAGAACGGCGAGTCGTACGATAGATGGCAAGCATACGGGCAGTCCAAGACAGCCAACATTCTCATGTGCCTTGCTTTGGCAGAGAGGTTGGGGCCAAAGCACGGTTTAACGGCTTTTAGTCTTCACCCAGGCGTCATAGCGACCAAACTAGTTGAGCATTTTGATTTTACTGTTGCATTGCCAGAAATGAGTAAGCCTCCTAGCAACTGTTAAGCATAATTGTTCACTGGTGTGAATACTTATTGAGGTTATAGCGGCTCTCGACAAAAACCTTGGAAATATCATATGGGATGACATTCCATGGAAGACTCCAGAGAGAGGCGTGGCCACTCACATCTACGCCGCTTTCGAGCCAAGTTTGAAAGGTACGCAGCATTACACATCTATATTATCCCAGACGTTCTCAAAAGAGAAGAATACAGAAAGTAAAAGAGGATAAAACCATATTGACGCCTGTGTTAGGGTATAACGGCGAGTATTTGCAAGATTCCCGTATCTCAGACCCATACACAGATACTGTCAGGCCGTGGGCTACGAGCAAAGTAGAGGCGGAGCGTCTCTGGAAGTTGAGTGAGAAGCTTGTTGGACAAGAATTCTCTTACTAGGTTCATTTGTTCTTGCACTATTGTGATAGATCAGAACGTAATCCCCTTGGAGTTCTAATTGGCTCTTCTAGATAGATGTGGGTAGCAGACGCAAGTCTTTTGTTTCACTTTAGTTTTAATACATGTTTTTTTCCATATCAGAATCATCTCTTAAGACAACATTCCATCACTCGTTGAACTCCTTGCTCCAAATTTGCTTATGCCCATGAGAAATGCTCAGTGTGTAAATAGACCGCGCCTGTCCTTGAACCTTGAAGGATCTTCAGATTTTCTTCAGCGACAGCGTTGCGTACATCGTTTTGCATCGTCTTTGGCCCGCAAACGAACACACTTAGAGATTGGCCAGCTTCTGCGACACTGGCTGCCTCTTGGACAATCTGGGGTAGTTGAGGCCGGCCCTCAAACTCTCTCTCAGGCACATTGATAGTGCGTCCCCCTTCTTCGACATTATTCTTATCCGTTGATGAGAGAGATCCCTTCGGCATAGGATCTTTTGCTGGCTTGTTTTCTAGATTTACCGGTTGTATCGCTTTGTCAGTCAGATAGACTTCAACTTGAAAATCGGTGTTGAATGATGAATCAGCTTGTGAATGCTTCGATAGCATCTCGCTTACTGCTCTGAGAAACCAAGTACGGCAGCTGGAATCCCGAGTTGCCAAGATAACACGCAGGGAAAGAGGTCTGGAATTGCTACGATTACCCAAGCCTTCAGCTGCAGGAAACTCTTTACCACCAGGGCGCGCAATTTGGCCTTGTTCTTCATCTGCCGATATCATGCGGTGTCTAACAATCTTTTCAATGAAGGGTAAACACCAGCCAGCCCCTGAACCACCCGAAACGACAAGAAGATGGTCGCTGTCCTGATATCTCTGCATATTGATACCTCCGTATGGCCCGTCTACAAGAACAGGTACCGAGCCACCAGGGTTTTCTAGGGCGAATCGGTACAGCATTGCGGTAAACCCCTTTTCCGGTCGAACAAAAAAAGTGAGCTCAGACTGCTCGTTTGGCTTCTCTGAAGGCAAGGAGCAGATGGTAAACGGATGGGCCGAGAGAGCATGTAGGAGGCCGAAGCTTGTAAACCGCAGAAAACAATGCTGCCCTGGTACCCAATGAAAATTTGCCGGAATCACAATGCGAATAAAGCCACTGTCCTCTACAAAGATTTCAGCTTTCGAGTTGACTCCATACTGGAAGCATGTTCGAAGCCAGGGGTAGACGTAACAAGGAACGTAAACAGCTGCAGTGGCGATGAAGTAATCCCTATGGTCTTTGTCAACAACTGTATCATTGTATTTAGCGGTAGCTAATTGCCCTTACCACGAAGTGAGCCTATAGCCGCAGTGCCAAAAGAACATTACCATGAAAACGGCTACAGCAAATAGATGTGTCATCTTGAAGAACTCGTACCCAAGGTTTCTGCGCTTGATGTTAGCTTCGCTGACTACATCCACACGACTTCTTTATTACCACTGACCGTATCGTACTGTGGGATGCAAAAGTAAGCCATGCTTGGAGAAGGAGTGCGACAATGCCGGTCCAATAGAAGACAAGATCGGAAGCAAAGTGCTTCTCCATGTCATGCCACCGAATGTGGTACACAATGAATGGGAAGGTATGTAGGAGAGCCAGGATAAAGAAGGCGTAAGATATCCATCTGTGGAAAACTTGGAGTCTCTCGTAAGATACTCCAGTGAACAACGTAATCCAATTCGCTTTGCTCGCAGTTGCACTATACATCGTTAGAATTGTGACGGCTTTGCCGTGCTCAATTGACTTACAAAATGAATGGCATACAAGCCAAGCCCATCCATCCAGATCTAGTGGCCAGTGCTGGCGAATTGCCATATATTTTACTTGGCCAGTAATAGGGCTGCGGAATTAAATCCATACCTGTTACAATATCAGTTCAATCTGATCTGAGACTCTTGGGGACATTCTCAGCTTACAGAAAAAGAAAATCGTACCGGCCAGTCCTAGCAATAAGATGCCAACCGGAGCTGAGTTCCAATGCAACGACTTGACGTGAAAGCCGCGGTACGAGAGGTATCGAATACTTGCTATTAGCTTTTGCCATATCGGCGGCCTTCTGAATCTGCGATATCCAAGAATCTGTGATACAACATGGCCGATGATGAAAATACCAATGGCGCACATGAAAAAGGCTACCGTTGGCAATGCAAACACATAGTCTGCGATATACCTGGCGAAAATTTGTCAGTTGGTCATTCCGTTTTTTTTAGACATTTGAATTTTTTTTTTTTTTTCATACCAATAGTGCCATCGCTGCTTATACCAGTCGCATTCTTCAGCGGTGAGCTCATCACATTCGAATTCGCGGCTTGAATGTAGCTGGATAGGCCCAGGGAGCCAGGCGGCGTTCTTGTCCATTTTTTCCGGGTTGTCGGATTGCCCTTCTTTACGATATCTTCAATTAGAAGACCAGTTGATATACCATTTCGATAACTTTAGGGCATGAAGAGAAAGAGCAAAATGGAACTCGCCACAGGGGGCTTGCTATCTCTTTTTTAGTTTTAACCGCCCTGGGTGAAATGAGCGCTCGCGACCCCATTTTCTCTCCATTGAGCCAGCATAAAACTATTTTCCATACATGCTCATTCGAAACGACCACCAGTTGAATAAATGGTTGCAAATTTCTCTCCGTATTGGTTGGATAAATGTAAAGTATGGGAATGTTGAGCGTGTTTGAGCAAGTTTCGATAGCGCTAGCTCGCATGTATAGCTGTGAGTTTATGATGCTAGAGAAATAGTTGCTATGTGATATATCGTAGGGAGATGTGGATCATATAGTGTTCTTCGGCTAATCTAAGTAGAGTCTCCTTCAAATAGGGGCAATAGATATAAAACATTGAGAATATTATTTCATCCAAGAATTATCACAAAGTGAATCGCATGATATATATTTTTTTCTAGACTTGTAACTGGCTTGATCCAACTTCTCTAGCTGCCTAGTTTTGGAAAATGTACACTATTCTATCAAGATCCTCACCTACTTATACTACTACTTCTACTCCCTCCCATCCAACTTTCTGATTCCAACTCGCTCACTTTTACAAGTTCTTCCTGAGCTTTATCCAAATGTCTTCTTTCGTCAATCTATCCATCGTCTATATGGTGGCAAGATGCCGTCCCAAATCTTCGTTTCACATATCAAACGAAAGTCTCCATTCACTATAAGCTATTCGACTGACTCGGACAAGTTGCAATTGGGTGTTTATGAGACACTAGCTGCCGATCTACCAAACGTTTTCCTCGCTTGAGCAGTTACATAAGGCTACAAGCGCATCTTCCAACCCTAGACGAGAGAGAAATCCATCGTTTCAGGCTTGAATCACGTCAAAATCTTGTCGCCCGCACAAATATAAAGCTTTCGCAAGACCCATAAGAGCCACTGGCCACGTTTCTCAAACTTGCACCCAAAGTCCAGAATCAATCAAAGGTTCGCAAAACATCATCTCCTGCGATTGAATACTACAAACTACTGATATCGCAACGGACGGGGCCGCAATCGATATTATGCGCGTTGGTTTAAACGGCGACTTTGACGTCACAAGACTTGCTTCAGCAAAGCTGTATTCAATGACTGAGAGGATGCACATAGAAGACAGCCGTCGTGATGATATCCCGCGCCGATTTAACAGATTTCCGGGGCACATAAGTTACCATGAGCCATATGGTTGGTATCGTCAACACGTACGTCACTATCTCTCAATTATAGTCAAACTATTTGATAATGAGACCAGCACTGCGATCCTACTTGCAGACATGTCGCCGTTTACTTCGGAACAGAAGGTCTGAAGCTACCACGCCGCAGCATTTCGGCCCAGGCTGGACATACTTACTATATCTAGTCAGTCGCTTGTCTAGAACAAAACCATTATTTGTACGATTCGCTTTGTAAGTCTCGATAGTTTTTATCTGGTTCCTTGGCAAAGACAAAATTATCGTATGCGCAACATGAAATGCATCTGGGCTTAAATATTGGCTTGAATAGCCATGCTATGAAATCTCAGGGCACATGGAATCGTGCCAAGAAGCTGTCAATAGTAGCAAGATAGTCAAAAAGAGTATTAGCAGTCAGATATAAGCTGTAGTGTTTCTTAATAGAGGGCTGACGGCAATCCATATAGTCTCGATCATATACGGTCTCTGGCCTCTTTATATGAATTTGGTCTGGCAATCACTGGAGATGATTAGTATCGCCAAGCTTCAGCATCTGGCAAACTGCAATGCCATGATCCGCTTCGTCATACGATTCACGCTAAACAGCCCATTCTGAAGCATATGAACATTAGGTTGCTCTTCAAATCACGGCTGCGACGTAGCGTCGTAATACTAATCCTTGGGACATTTAACCTAATTGATCCATGTGGAGTCCGACCCGGCAAAAGTTGCGGCGCCAATCTATGCATAGCTCGTAGTTTCTCCTTTGCTTAGGAATCTATATCCATTAATTCCGTTGAAGGCTGATAAATTGGTGGCATCTTTTCCCGCTGCTTTTACGATCGGGCGAGGATTGCTTAGTCGACCGGTCCGATGGCTCTTTGTTGATAATCCAACTGGGCAACTTTCTGCGACACCACAAATGTGAATATGAGCTGCCCAGAGAGCTCCACCCTACTGGCAAGCTGCTTCCAGTGGGATTCAGCGATTCAGCGATGCATACCCCTCTTTGCTTGCTTTCGACCAGCTCTTGGCGATATCCGGGTGCATCCGGGCCCGCATATAGTTGGGGGCGGTTGTTTAATGTACCTGTCGGTCTTAGTAATGCGAGGGGAGCTATGGCTCCGGCGTCTGGTGTCGGCGGGGGAATCACATCCTGCAATGCTCGCAATTGGTGAATGGCTCTTAGTTGGTAGAATTAGTATTCTGTGTCATGTAGAGAGCGCGATAACAGCATCGATTCGAAGGTCTTGGCCTATCAGAGCTGGACTCGTCGGCACATCGTAAGTAGAACGGGACTTTCGCGTAAGCCGCTTATGGTTCGATCTGACTCTAGCTGTGACCTGGTGAGGCTTGCGGGAATGGCCCAGTGGGTCGCGTCTGTAAGGTACATGATACATGACATAGGTAGCGTTACGGTTGCGCGCGATTTAATACGATATGTTCCGTAATGGACGGACGAAGGATCAGATACAAAGAGATCTGACTTCATCGAAGCGTTCGATGAGAAAGAAGGAGAGAGAGAGAACCAGCTGCAGCGAGAGGCGGGCTGACAGCTGCTATATAGGCCGCGCTTTGCCCATCCATGGGGGAAATGGCGTTATTGTAGGGCTGTCATCACGTTTGTTATGTAAAGCAGAATCTACATGTATATAGTAGCGTCAGTGCCCTCGTGTCAATGGCATGCTAATGGACCTGTCTGATTCTACTGAGCACAGGGCTGACGGTTCCCAACTGCACTGCCCTAATGAGCTTCCAGCCCTCTCAATGCGGGTGTCCACCCGAGCAGTAGAGCGGAGCGGCTAAGACCGGCTGAGATGGGGAATCTGATGACCATGTGTCTAACCTTGACCAGCATCAGAAGCCGTCTAGTTTGACAATGCTCCATGAATTACTCCCAATATAAAACAAAAGATAAAACATATACCTGCTACTGGTGGATAAGCTCGATAATTCCTTTCTCGGAAGTTGTAATAACGGAATCTCGCAACTGTAGTGCACCCCGAGATGTCCGAGACCTGGTTCACAGTAGGTACAAAGTGGTTCACGGTGCTGGAGCCCAGAGACTATCTGAGATGCACCAAGCTGTGGAACCGTAGCGTGAACAGCAAAGCAAAGGACGATTAGATGACGCTCTTTTGCCCTTTCTGGCGACCTCTCTGTGTCCATTGTTCATCCCTGCAAACTGTTTTTGAAATCCTTTCGGTTCGTCGCCCATGTTTCAGTGACAAATCTGTCCGCCATCCCTTGAGCAAAGCCTGGTGAAAGTTAGAACCCACTTCGTAAACTCCATTTGGCGCACGCACTTGTGGAAAGCCGCGCGCCATCGTCCCCACGCCTGCATTTGCTAGTTGTGCTAGCATCATGCTGAGGATTATCCGTATTGGTTCAAGCTTACATGGAATCTTGATATGAGCGGGTAGGCGCAAACTCAAATCAACTCAGGTACGAGTACATTCGCTCAATCGCAGTTGTTAGGGCGAGCCTGTTTGCGGATTAATTTACGTGAGCATCTTCCGCGGAAGAAGAGCCCCCACCTTTTCATGGATTTAATAGCTGTCAGCCAGCTTCCAATAGAGCTTGCACGTTGACAAGCAGCCCTGCTGGGGGGGCTGATAACCCCATGATTCCAAACAGTGCGGGCCTTTTATCAGAAGCCTTGCGGATACACTATGTACTGCTTTGATCATCCTGACCAATGCCTTATTCCAGGAGCCATTAGCCATGGCGTCCGGCCGGCAGGTTCCACAGCAACGTCTCGGGGCCGGTGTCTTGCATCATGGGTGCGTAGGCGTAGTTTTCGTAGGCACTTGGCGGACCCTCCTGAGGCCCTTGAAGCTTTGACGCTGCCGCAAAACCTTGTGGGAGGACGGTCCAGTTGATAGGCTCGTCGGCATATCGGGGAGGGGAGGGATGTAGATGGAAAGAGGCGTTCTTCGGGCTGCGGGCGTGGCATGTGGGAGTCAGTGGGATGATGAGACTAGGACGAGAACGCTGCCCCCTTGCCTTGTCGATGATGGGCTCTCTTCCGTGCCTCGTCCTGGCAGAGCCTGGCCTTTCCGTTTAGGATTCGCGCCGCCGGTGGCTTCCTGCACATTACGTAGATCGTGGTCCGACGCTGCGCTTGTTGGCGGCTTGCGGGTGCCTGGATTGACTCGCGAGGGATCAGATGTGCCAGGCAATATATATAGATCGTGTCTGGCCGTGCCTTGCTTTCGGTTCCCCTCATCTTGATACTACGTGCTTGCTTGTTCTGTTTGTTGACTTGAATTGGCTGGACCGGCCTGAGACTATATCATATAACTCCTAATAATCAACACTTATTGTTACACATTACACATCTTTCTCACGACGCATACGACTCTCCTCAACTAAAACACAATGCCAGCTGTCAAGGAGTCCGTCCTCCTTGCGCAGCAGCCCTCTTCAGGCGAAACCATGGCCAAGGGCATCGACCTGGCCACGGTCAAGGCGCTGGACATCATCGACATCCAAAATGCGCGTGTCGAAATCAACCTCAAGGACGAGATCCTCTCACAGATGAACCCCGAGCAGGGCCCTCGCACGCTGCCCACGCTGCTCCTATACGACGAGAAGGGGCTGCAGCTGTTTGAAGATGTACGTGTAAACTGATTCCCGGGTCGTGAGAAGTGGCGTGTAACCAGATCTGTGTCCAGATCACATATCTGGACGAGTATTACTTGACCAACTACGAGATCGAGCTGTTGAAGAAGTCGTCGGCGGAAATTGCCAGCAAGATTCCTGAAGGGGCAATGGTGGTGGAGTTGGGCAGCGGGTCAGTTCCAGTGATGTCATTGTTGCTTTCAGTGTTGCTTTCAATGTTGCTTTCAGTGTTGTTCCAGCGAGTAAATCTGTTGATGCTGACATTGCACCTTTTTTTCTTTATTTTCTTCACAGAAACCTGCGCAAAGTCTGCCTTTTACTGCAGGCGTTTGAAGATGCTCACAAGAGAATCGACTACTTTGCGCTCGACCTGTCTCAGACCGAGCTGGAGCGCACGCTGGCAGAAGTGCCCGCGTTCCAGTACGTGACTTGCCGCGGCTTGCTCGGTACCTACGACGATGGCCGCGAATGGCTCAAGCAGGAGTCACTTTCGGACCGACCAAAGTGCATTGTGCATCTTGGCTCAAGTCTTGGTAAGCTCATTTTCGCTCCATCTTTTTTTCTCGAGTCTCTGCTAAACAGTATTTATTCTAGGCAACTTCAACCGCGAAGAGGCGGCTGATTTTCTCAAGTCTTTTGCAGAGGGGCTGCAGCCCACAGATGCCCTGATTATCGGCGTCGACTCATGTCAGAATCCTGACAAAGTTTAGTAAGTGCATTCGAGAATTCAACGTTTATTCTTGAAAGAAAATAAAGGAAAATGGAATTGTTAGCTAACACTTGATTGCAAATAGTCGCGCATACAACGGTTAGTAGCAGGCATTGATTGAATAGGTAACCAATTATACTGACATTAGACTGTTCAGACAGCAAAGGAATCACACATGAGTAAGGTTGTCTGTTAAATACCTTATGTAACTCGTGCTAATGGGCAAAATTTAGATTCGTCCTCAATGGCCTCGCTCACGCCAACGAGATTCTCGGCGATGAGGTTTTCAACGTCGAAGACTGGCACGTCACCGGCGAGTATGTCTATGACATCGACGGTGGCCGCCATCAGGCGTTTGTCTCGCCCCTTGAGGTCTCCTCAGTTCTTGGTCACATCATCAAGCCGCATGAGCGCATCAAGATTGAGCAGAGCTTCAAGTACTCAGAAGTGGGTATCGAGAAGCTGTGGAAGACGGCTGGCCTCAATGAGGTTGCCAAATGGAGCCACAATGGTGAATATGGTATGTTTCAATCGCTGTCGTCTCGAAACAATGCATCACTAACGAATCTTCTCAGGGCTGCACATGCTGAAAAAAGCGAAATTGCCCTTCTCCAGACTCCCTGAGTTGTATGCCAAGGAGGCTCTGCCCACTTGGTCTGATTGGGAGAGTCTCTGGGAGCTGTGGGACACCGTCACCAGAAAGATGCTTCCCGATGAAGAGCTCAACGAGAAGCCAATCAAGCTGCGCAATGCATGCATTTTCTACCTCGGCCACATTCCCACCTTCCTCGATATCCAGCTGAAGAAGACGACAGGCGCTGGTGGAACAGAGCCCGTCTATTTCCACTCCATCTTTGAGCGAGGCATTGATCCCGATGTTGATAACCCGGATCACTGCCACAACCACTCTGAAATCCCAGACGAGTGGCCTGCTTTGGAGGAAATCCTGAAATACCAAGACGCTGTTCGCGAGAGACTTCGCGGACTCTACGCCAAGAAAGATGAGCTGGACAAGGACGTCCGCCGAGCCATCTGGGTCGGATTCGAGCACGAGGTGCTTCATGTCGAAACTCTGCTTTACATGATGCTTCAGAGTGACAAGGCCCTGCCACCACCACACACGGTGATTCCCGATTTCCCAAAGATTGCCCAAAAGGCATACGCCGCGCGCGTGGAAAACCAATGGTTTGATATCCCAGAGCAGGTCATCACCATTGGAATGGACGATCCCGAGGACGAGCTCGACCGTGACCGCCATCTTGGCTGGTGAGAATTTTCCCTTAGCACGCGATTGGATACAATTTTCTCTAACAGTTTTGATAGGGATAACGAGAAGCCTGCGAGACAGCAAAAAGTCCACTCTTTCCAGGCAAAAGGAAGAGCCATCACCAACGAAGAGGTGAGTGATATTCTCATTTCGGGACGTTTACAACAGAGCTAACAAGAACTAGTACGCCAAGTATCTCTATTCATCTCACATCAAAGACCTTCCCGCATCTTGGTCCATCATTCCTCCCAACTACCACCACAACACCAACGCCACCACAGTCGGAAAGCCCATTCTCAGCGAGCTTCCCGAGAGCTTTATGCAAGACAAGGCTGTGCGCACAGTCTATGGACTGGTGCCTCTGAGATATGCTCTCGACTGGCCCGTGTTTGCCTCGTATGACGAGCTTGCTGGGTGTGCTTCTTGGATGGGTGGCAGAATTCCTACCATGGAAGAGGCCGAAAGCATTTACGCATACGCAGAGAAGCAAAAGGACATTGCGAAGCAGAGCAAGTTGGTGAATAAGGTTCCAGCAGTTAATGGACACCTTGTCAATGACGGTGTTGAAGAAACACCTCCATCGACCACTTCCCCCTCCTCTCTCTTCGTCGATCTCAGCAACTCCAATACCGGTTTCGTCCACTGGCACCCTATCCCAGTAACTCCCAATGGCGGTTCTCTCGCCGGCCAAGCCGAGCTTGGCGGCGTCTGGGAATGGACGAGCACCGTCCTGCGCCCGCATGAGGGATTTACTCCCATGGGCCTGTATCCTCTCTACACGACTGACTTCTTTGACGAGAAGCATAACATCGTGCTGGGCGGATCGTGGGCGACGCACCCGCGTGTGGCCGGTAGGAAGAGTTTCATCAACTGGTACCAGAGAAACTACTTGTATCCCTGGGCTGGAGCCAGATTGGTGCGAGATATCTAAGAGAGAGTTGAGAGTCGGGGGACGATATGACGGTGAGATTCGTGGCGGGTTGGAGGCATGATACGGGTATCAGATTGACATATTTGAGTGATATACGCATGATGGACATTTGGAGCGCAAAGGCGCGGACGGTCATTACCGAGTATATGAAGCTCTCAATTTCGCTCAATTCTAGTACGCTCGTTTAGGTAATCAATAACAAACGACTTTCATTAAAGATGGTCTTCTTCTTATTGAAAGTAGTTCGGAGAAGTAAGTGATCGCTAGACATTTGTTAACACGAGCCCCTCGTGGTGAAAGTTGCACAGGCGAAGTATTAGCGGGAATTAATGAGACCATTGGGGGAGTTTAAAAGATGCTGTGGAACGACTTATATACGACCCTTCACAAAGTCTGACTCTTTACTTATGACCAAATTCTAGATTACTTGCATTTGCCAAAACTATTATTCACCGTTTGGTTATCTATATTCATAGCCCTCATAATAATGTTGAGGGTATTTTCTCATAGGCATTCCTGCTGCCCCATCTCAGTCGCCAAAACTCCATACAACCACCCTATAGGTTGGATCAAACGAGAGAGAAAAAACACAAAGAAGCAGAGGGGGATAAAAAAAAAGTCCATCTACGCATCTCATTTATATGTCTCTTGCATCCACACCACTGACCCTCGAATCGCCTCATCGACATGCGCTCTTCGTATTCCGGGGCAGGCTCCCAAGCACACGGCCTTGGACACGAGCTTATGGACCAAGGTATCGAGGTTTATTGTGATGTTAATCTGCTCAGAATTGCACATTGGTATGTTTTCCGGCGATATGCTTGTTCCATCGATATCCCAAAGGGAGTTTGCAAACGCTGTTGCTGAATCGCGCTGGTGGTTGAATATATCGTAATCATGGCCAATGCCGAGCTCATCAGGATTCGATGGTACGTCTTTGGTATAAGTCTGATTTTGCACGTCTGGCTGCTGGGCATCTGTCTCATTCACATTGGTCATCGTTGCAGATAGTTTGCTGCCAGCGGGGATGGCCAGATTCAGTAAATCATCATCTGGCGCCTCCTCTCGAACAAATATCCCTCGCTGTTCGAGATACTCTTCTACGTCCAAGGGTTCGAGCCACTCTCCCTGGAGATCCGGTACCGCTGTAGAGATCACCGTCCGCGTGCATCCAAATTGCAAACGCTGCATATCAGGTTGTGGCTTTCGCGGTACTAGAGTATGCGTTTGCCCTTCAATGAGACGCATCATCTTGGGCAGGTACCCTGCCTTGACAGAGTAACGCTCTTGTTCCAGGTGGGCTTCCTCGCCGCTAAGGGAGAGATATTTCATAGCTCGTCTGAGAATGTTGTCTTCACTTTCAAACTGGAGCGGCAGAAGCAGGACTGGGAGGATGCGCATAAAAGGTACTCTCGGCAGCTTGAGTCTATCTGCAGCGATGTCGAGGCACGCGCGAAGGATCCGTTGAGAGATTGACGGAGGCTGTGGATAAAAATTGCCAGAGTTCATAGGCGCGGAAATTTCGATGGCATCGTCTTCGTCTTCGTCGCTATCCGTTGACATGAGAACTTCGCCAGCCTGACACTCATGTTCTGGAGAATTATCAGCCAGAGCATTCTTTGCAATAGAGATGATGTTCGTGGCTGTTCCATGGAGCTGCATCAGGAAGTCTGCCGGCATGTAGTCCTGCTTGCCCAGCAACATCTGGTGAAGCTTGATGAATTCATCGAGAGTTCTGTTAAGAGCCTTTTCCAGGGAGTCTGCCCTAGCTTTTGCGGCTGTGAGTTCATTTGCTTTGCGGTTACGATACGATCTCTGGGCGAGCCGCATGCGAGAGCGAGGCTGTTGTGAAAGAGAGTACAAGTTAGCCAGGTACCTAATTGCCTATTTTTGCTATTTGCTACATGCAAAGGCCAGAGAACAGGGCTTAGCTCTCAAGTAACTACCCACCGAGTTATCATTTGGATCTATAGGCAGACTATCCTTCATGCGAGGACGCCCAGGTCGTCGTGCTGGGGCATTGGTATCGGCTACTTTGGGCTGCCGGATGTTACCGGTACGCATGGCTATTTTGGTTAGATCCATCTCAACTCAATCTATATCTCTTCTCCCTGTTATGACTCGATAAGAGTTAGTTTGTCTTCGACTTGCTTTTTGAATGGACCTGATTCGAGGTCGCTGAAGAGTGGTAGCGAGATGACAAACAATTATTTTGTCTTGGAACACCCCTAGGCTTTATATATGGGGGGCGCATCAGACAAATTAATTCCTTCGACAACCGCTTATTCGCTCTGCCGGCCTTGCCCCACCCCACCTCCGCTACTCCGCATAATTTTGTAGAGAGACCCGGAGCTGAAACGGAGCTGAGCCGAAAAGACCGATATCTGGATCTGTTTCTAAATCTAAATCAGGATATTCTATTGACCTGCTTGAGGTTTTAAAAGGGGTTTGGAGCCATCGAACAGTGGAGGGTGCCGGACATAGCGGTTTTTACAGATGATTAGTATTCTCTATGCAGATTCTCTGTTGAAGACAGTTGCGGATTTAACGTCGAATGATGGCGTTTCAGTAGGATGCTACCAACGGTTCAACGTGAGTGAATAGCGAATAGAAGAATGGCGAATAGGAAGATGGCGAAATATATATATATGAGGAAGAAGCTCGAGGCACACTCAAGTCAACTCCAGCTTCCACATCGCCATTGTATCAAATACATTCTCAATTACATTATCAACACCAAGACATATCTATTACCTACTCTCATATCAGAAATGCCTGCTACTCTTACTCGTAAGCTGGGCAAGTATGGCCCTGAGATTCCCGCCATTGGCTTCGGTCTCATGGGTATCGGCATCGATTGCTACGGTGCAACTGGGTAAGGCGAAACTGAAGAAGAGAAAGAAAAGAGACGAAGAATGAGGCATTAGCTAACACAGTACTCCAGAGATGATGAAACTCGATTCGCCGTGCTAGACCATGCGTGGAAGGAGGGCTGCATTCACTGGGACACTTCAGACGCATACGGAGACTCTGAGGAGCTCATTGGCAAGTGGTTCAAGCTGCACCCCGAGCGCCGTGCCGACATCTTCCTGGCCACCAAGTTTGGCATCTCTGCAGAGCCTCAGCCTGACGGCACCTACAAGGGGAGCGTCGACAGTTCCCCCGAGTATGCCAAGGCGGCTTGTGAGAAGAGCTTGAAGAAGCTCGGAGTTGACTACATCGATCTTTACTATGCGCACCGAGTTGATGGCAAGACGCCAATCGAGAAGACGGTTCAGGCTTTGGCAGAGCTGAAGAGGTAAATGCCCTTCCTTCTATCTGATACTTCTTACTATCCAGTCCACGGCATTGTTCTGTTCACTAATCGAGGGTCCAACAGCGAGGGCAAGATCAAGCACCTTGGCTTCTCGGAAATCTCTGGCGAGAGCTTGCGCCGCGCATTCGCCGTGCACCCCATTGCAGCTGTTCAGATCGAGTACAACCCGTGGGCATTGGAAACCGAGGGCCCGGTGTCGAAGCACCTCCTCAAGGCTTGCCGAGAGCTCGGCGTCGCTACCATCGCATATTCGCCGCTGGGCCGTGGCATGTTGACTGGACAGGTGACTTCAACCGACGAGCTGGACGAGAAGGACTACCGCAAAAACGTCGATCAGTTCAAGGGAGACAACCTGAAGAAGAACACCCAGCTGGTGAACAAGTTCAAGGAGGTCGCCGCAAAGAAGGGCTGCAGTCCCTCTCAGCTAGCCCTCGCCTGGCTGCTCGCGCAGGGCGACGACATCTTCCCCATCCCCGGCACGAAGAAGATCAAGTATCTCGACGACAACTGGGGCGCCCAAAACGTCAAGTTGACCGCGGAAGAGGCTCGCGAGATCCGCCAGCAGGTCGACCAGCTGGGAGTTGCCGGCGGCCGCGACATTGCCTTCAACCAGTACGCCGACACGCCCGCTCTCTGAGCAACTAGTACTGTTGCTCTCCTAGAGGCGAGGTAACGCGCGTTCTGCTGCTACTACTCAGCTTCACTTTCAATATGCAACATGCATTGAAAAGCGTGTTAGGCATAGTGGATTGGCAACGTGACTGGACACATGGGGTAGCTCGTATCGGCAGTTGCTCTCAAAGGGCCCCTTGGCTGATAAAAAGGGCATCCCCTTCTCTTCTAAATTTAGCCTTAGTCATATTTCATCAAAATTTACAACTGTAAAAAAAGGCCTCATCACAGTGGCGCAAACAAATTATAGGGTCTACTTGTAGGGTACTTTTTTTGTCTTATATTGCCGTGAGAGGCTGGCGGTGCAAAAACTATCGACATCACGTCTCATTTTCTGGACAGCCATCAGGCGAGATGATGACGCACTAGAAGAGCAGCACGGCTGCTATTTGCCAATTAACAGGCCTCGCTTCCTGTTCTTGGACAACGAGTTGTGCCGTGTCTTCGGCGTATCAATCAATAAAACGCTGGCGCTGTTGCGTCGCATCCATCCGTTGCAATGTCTTACCAACGCTGCGTCGTTAAATCACTTCTCCTTCTCTCCTTTTGCTCTCCTTTACACACCACAACTCACGAAGCTCTTCTCTTCTCTGCAATGGTCCATTGAGATGCCCATCTCTCGTCTTTGACTCTTATACTTGTCTACATGTGTGCCTGTTACCATAATAGGCCACGTTCCCTGAAACCGCGCAGGCTCTCCATGTACCCAGCAACTCTCCGATCGCCGAACATCGCCCCGCACGCGGAGATCAAGCCAAACTTCCAGCCAAATAGGCTAAAGTAGCCAAGAGCACGCAACAAAACATGTGCACCTTTTTCTGGTGCTATGTGCTGTGCCCATGCCCGTACGAAAAGGACTGCGCCTTAGCCATTAATCGCATAGTCTACTGGGCTGGCCAGTGGCGCCACAGGACGGGGAAGCAGGCCCCTGTTCCCAACTCTGGCACGGCCTGCGAGAGGCAGAAGCAGATGTTCGGCCAGGATGCCGAGCCGTCGTGGGGGTGCTCGGTCCGGCGACTCATAGACTGGATGGTGGAGTTGACGTTTGTGATTGATTCGACGCCGTGTGCTGAGTGCAGCCACAAGTGCAAGGCCCGCTTTGACAAGAGGATGGAGGAGGAGAGACAGAGCAGAGAAGACGGGAGGAGAGAGGAGACGGTATCGTACGGTGCTCCAAACAGCGAGTGGCGGAAGAAATGGACCAAGTCTAAGGAATAGTCTATCTGGGCGACTAAGTGTATTATTATATCAACGAGGCTGGCTATCTTGCCAGAGTATGAAACGCCCATATTGTTTCCGGGCGTCTCAGCGGTTGGGTCGTGCGGCATGGAATTTGAACAACAACAGGATCTAGTTAGTAACTCGCTATCAGGGCCAGCAGTTAACTAATGCCATAACTCTTTATTGCGTTAACAACTCTGCCAACGTAACTCAACGCTGAGTACTGCGAAACATTCAATGTTCAGACGGCTAACTTGGCGTATGTCCCGCAACTCTCAAGCACTCCATGATTTGCCATGGCATTGTCATAATCTGCTTCACTTGACTTGCCTTAACTGCCAACGCAGTACTTCTAACATCCAAAGCTCTAGCCATCTTTAAGAGAAAGTTAAAGATTTCTTATACGGCTGTTTTTACCGAACCCTCATATAGTTTCAGACATTGCTGATGATGTCTATTACAAAGAATACGTAGCCAAAATTTTCTATGAGTTGCCGCTAGTTCCTATATAGTTGGCGAAATGAAACCACTTGCACAATGCTCTCAAGAGTCTATCAGCGACACTCATTAGAACCTCAATAGATAGCAGTGCCTTGTTGTCGAAGACTAGTTTCGAATCTCTTGGAAGTTGTATAAGAAAAAGGCTATAAGCAATAGCATTGAGGTGGGTCCAAAATATGTTGTGTTACGAAAGACGGGAAAGAGGCATAACAGGTCAGTTGATCGCGATAAATCTTTTGCAGTACAAATATTTAATTCAAGAAGTTCAAAAAGTCATGAGATAGTTTACAGTACAGTTAAAGATAAGTTTGCTATGCAGTAAATTAGCCCGATATAAAGCTTGCCATCATCTGTGGAATATGGATAGGGGCACGGTTGGCAGCGGCTCCGGGGTAATCGTACTTCCAGAAACAGTACTGCTTCACTTCCAAAGACCGCAGCATTGCTCAACTAAACGTACACTGGAACATGGGGCTTGTCGAGCCTGTTTCTCTGAAACCAGTCACCTGTGGACATTAAGGGACGTCATCTAGGTCATGCTTCATGTTAGTTGCTCTTTTACTTACTATGTGGTCAACTGTGACGTTATGTAGACGATACCCGCCTGCATAGCTGTTTAGCATACGACCCGAGTTTCTAGCTTGTTGCTGCCGACTTGTCTGATTCCTAATCACAATGAAGCATATATTTAGACTAGCCGACAGACACAGCTAAGGCTTACTCTTTTCGACTCGCGCAGCTCGAGTTGCAAGGCTGTACCCTTGCACAACGCTAAAAATCCTGTTGGTAACGCTACCATTACTCTTGGCAGCATATCAATACTTGTTCGTACATAGTCTTGCTTATTTATGGTTGAAGCCTAGACGTTAGTTGGCATGCACGATTAAGTTTGGTGAGATAGAGAGCACAAGAAGGTTGAGGATCCGCAACTCCGTAAGCTAACTAAGTCGATCCCTGCGTCATTATGCTTATTCCATACTAATCATATAGCCCAATTCGACCCATCAGGTGGCTGTTTCGCCAATAGAGTAGGAGCTATGGTATTCCTTTACCGCAAGTTGTTTTGAACGGAGATTAAGCAACCAAATTAAGTCCACTTACATGAACTACCTAGACTAAAGATGGCAACCAAGCTGACGACTGTCAAAGGGAGACTCAGTTGCAATCGCTACAGAGTATAAGTTGGACTCAACCTGTCGTTCTCTTTCTTTCTACTTCTCGTACCTTGTCATTCACCCTTAAATATCAGTATCATCTCTGCTACTATCTTCATTTGACCATGAAAAGCAATATCTTTATAATCGCATCACTGCTGAGCCTCTGCTCTGCAGATGCCTCGGCGGATTCCTTTGGTAATGAGGCAGAAGGCATATCCGACAGCGACTGGAACCTTGCGATGCGTAGCACAAACGCAACTGGCTCAGCGAGTATCCCCGGATATAACCTCAGGAAGAAATATCCAGGAGAGAAAAGTGATAACTGGACAGTCTCGATTTCCGTTGCCAGCGACATAATAGGTGGAAATTCTGCCGCTGGTAAATTCGTCACTGGCACGCAGATTGAGTGGAAAGGCCCACCAGGCGTAATCTCTGGAGCAGATTCGTCGTGGTTTCTGTGCCGTAATGTTTACAGCAGCTTGAAGCTGAAACAATCTGGCGCTGGAGCAACCAATGGAAGCTGTTCAGGACTGCTCTCTGATGGATGTTTAAGTGCTCTTCAAGACTCACTTGAGGCAGGCACGCAGTGCCAAAACACTACTCTACCCACTGATTGCGTAGATGAGCTTGAGTTAACCAGTGGCCAAGGATTTGGCTTGACATCTGGTAGGTCTTTTTCCTTTCAAGCTAGGCATCTACCTATACTAACAATGCTGCAGCTCACCCGGCCAAGAGCTCCAATACCAGCGACTCAATCCAGATTCGCTATGGCAACGAAAGCCATGACCAGGGAAACTTCACAGCTTACGATGCTGCTATTCGACAAGTCTGGCTCGTGGTGACTGGATTCGCCCAGGCTGGAAGTGATGATGCGCACCCACGTGGTTCAGCTGGTCAGCCAGGAAGCGTTGCATGCTTACAAGCGGACGAAGTGCAGAACAATAGCAGAGACTTCAAAAACGCAGCTGATATTGCATCCTCATCACTGGTACACGTTTTGATAGGTCTCACTGTGGCAGTGAGCTTGTGCTGGTAGTTGTGTATCCACAACTTTCACGGACATGGATGCTGGATGAGGGATTCACATAGATGAGAAGAGGAAAGTTTTTATACCTAGAGAATTATACACATGTTAATAGAGTAATAAAGAATGGAGACATATCGTTGGCGTCTACATGCAAATGTGAGCAAAGTATAATGAGCCACTTTTTGGTGATCCTCTTTGGGTAATTACTTGTACACCAAATCTCAGTCTCTGAGCCGTGGAACAACAGTTTTTGACTCTATAAATTTTCGCACATCGCTGTATTTAAGTTTAAACTACACGGACTCTAGCACTCCCGTAAGTGCATCTCAGCTTCTCTTTTAGATGCTAGTTGCTGCATCAGCATACAGCAGGCGGCTCGTGCCCCTGGACCTTTAGCCTAGACTTCAACATTCCCTGCAACATAAGATCAGACTCATGTATGCCCTACACTGAAAGGTGCACCTGTTCAACGCTTGGCTCTCAAAAAGAACAACCGAATCCCGGAAATTTCCCCGGATGGAATAATAAACAGCAGGCCTTCCCCGCAAAAGGCGGATAGTTATGCACGAAAAACTCCGCAGTTGCGGGCGATTAACGCCAAAGGGGTCAATCATTGCCGTTGTCAGGGTGGTATCCAAGACTTAGTTCTCAAGCTACAGCAGTGTTGGTAGTTACTCTAGAAGGCATTTCAGAAGCTTCTCCAAGAATGGCAAATGTATGCGTTGGCCTCAAATAGCCGTCGGCTCAATGTAGTACTTTATAAATCGTCGTGGTAGCGGGTTTAATTGATATGTTTGACTGTAATGACAAAGTCAAAGCCAATTGACCTTGGGAATCTCTCAGAATGAAGGCCATTGTTGCAGCGCTGGCCATCGGCCAGACTGGTGTAGCAGCAAGGAAATTCTGGACGTCAAAACCAGCTGATCCAGGAAATGTGTTGATGACAGGGTATACTATCGGCAATGGAAGACAAGGAGGTAAGGAGATTGGCAATAATTAATGGCGACTATAGTTGGCTGAAATTCGTATAGGCTTACCGCTGGGAATACCTGGCGACGATTTATTATGTCTGAACGATGATAGCGTATGGCGCGGCGGCCCATTCTCAAATTCGGTGAGAAAACACATATCAGTAATCTAGGAGAAGAGAGTCGCTAACATAACTTTAAGAGCTACACAGGAGGAAACCCTTCAGCGTCGTTGGCTCATTTCTTGCCGGGAATCCAGGAGTTTATCTTTCAAAATGGAACAGGAGGTATTATTTGAGCGACAGTGTGCGATCGGATCATTGATACTAATTCACCTATTAGATGAATCCGCATTATACGGCGGCTCCTCTGATTATGGCTCTTACGAGGCCCTCGCCAACCTCACAGTCTCCATCGCCGGCGTGACCAAGTACTCTAATTACAAGCGGACGCTGGACCTGGAGACGGCATTGCATTCTGCAGAGTTTACTGCAAATGGAGCCACATTCCAAACGTATGCGCAATATCATCCAAACATTGAATCTCCGTGCTCAAGCTAAACTGCTCCCAGTGTTCAATTCTGCACCTTTCCCGACCAAGTCTGTGTCTATCATGTCAACTCCAACAAGCCACTACCCGACATCACGTTTGGCCTAGTTGACAATTATCGAACAAATCCGGCTTCTACCGTCAAATGCTCTTCTAGTGGCATTTGGCTGAGCGGACGAACCGTAGCCAATGACGGCGAAGGCCTGATTGGGATGAAAATCGATGCCCAGGCCTCTGCACTCTCTACCAGTGGGCTAAAGGCAACATGCAATAGCAAAGGCCAGACGGTGCTTAGCACAAAATCCGTCAAATCTGCCACCATTGTGGTGGCTTCAGGCACCGAATACGATGCAAAGAAGGGCAACGCTGCTAATAACTATTCCTTCCGCGGAGTTGACCCGCATCCCGGTGTTGTCAAGACAATTAACGCAGTGTCTAAGAAGAGCTACAACACAATTGTGCAGAGACATGTCGCTGACCATGGCGAGTGGTTCAACAAGTTTACTCTGGATTTACCGGATCCCAATAACTCTGCGGAAGTCGACTCAGTGGAACTGCTCACGAATTACTCGACGGATAAAGGCGACCCCTTTGTCGAAGGTCTGCTGATCGATTACGGAAAGTACATGTTCATTGCCTCATCTCGACCTGGGTCACTGCCTCCAAATTTGCAAGGCTCGTGGGCTCCTGATGGCAACCCGGCGTGGAGCTCGGACTATCACATCGATGTTAACGTGCAGATGTAGGTTTCTGGCTTGGATACGCTTTGTTGATACATGCTTGGCTAAACATTTTTTTCAGGAACCACTGGCATGTCGAAAAGATGGGCCTGGGAGGTCTTACCGATCCTCTATGGGATTTTATGACTTACACTTGGGTCCCTCGTGGGACAGAGACGGCTAGACTGTGGTATAATGCCAGCGGCTGGGTTGCCTTTACAAACACCAACATTTTCGGCCATACAGCGTAAGTTATGAAAAAAATTCGCTCTTCTCTTTGCCTTCTGACCTGTGGTAGGCAAGAAAACGATGCAACTTGGTCGGATGTTGCGCATGATATTGCTTGGATGAGTAAGTCTTTGGTCATAGTATTCTAGGAAATGTTGCTAAATGCTTCCATAGTGGCACATGTGTGGGATCGCTATGACTATGGCCGCGATAAAAACTGGTATGCCTCTGTTGGATACCCTCTGATGAAAGGCGTGGCCAGCTTCTGGATAGACTTGCTTGTGCAAGACGACTACTTCAAGGATGGCACCTTGGTTGCAAATCCTTGCAATTCTCCAGAGCACGGCCCTACGGTAGGCCAAAATCCAGATTCTTTGTTGATGCTTAGAGTAAAACTAACTGGAATTACAGACCTTTGGTTGTGCTCAGTTCCAGCAGGTGATCTGGGAACTGTTTGACCATATCATCAAAGACTGGAATGCGTCCGATGACAAGGACGAGAGCTTCTTGAAACGGCTCAAAGAGTCGTATGGCAAGCTTGACCCAGGTGTCCACGTTGGAAGCTGGGGACAGATTCAAGGTAAATTCAAAGATCCTTCTGTGTCGGCGTGAACTGTGAAACTGATTATCCACCACAGAATGGAAACTGGACATCGACGTCAAGAACGACACTCATCGCCATCTCTCTCACCTCTATGGCTTCTACCCCGGCTATGTCATTTCCAGCGTCCACGGCGACAACAAGACAATCATGGACGCCGTCGCCACAAGCCTCTACTCTCGCGGTAACGGCACGGACGACTCCAACACCGGCTGGGAAAAGGTCTGGAGAGGCGCGTGCTGGGGCCAACTTGGCGTCACTGATGAGGCTTACAAAGAGCTCAAGTACACCATCGACATGAACTTTGCGGCAAACGGACTTTCGGTGTATACCGCCGGCAGCTGGCCTTATGAGCTCGCGCTGCCGTTCCAGATTGATGCCAACTTTGGCCTTTCGGCAAATGCGCTGGCGATGCTGTACACGGACCTGCCGAAGAAATGGGGAGACAACAGCTTGCAGAAGGTGATTCTCGGCCCTGCGATTCCGGCAGAATGGGCGGGTGGCAGTGTGAAGGGCGCGAGTCTGAGAGGAGGCGGCACGGTGGACTTTGGCTGGGACGACGATGGGGTTGTGAACAAGGCGGTGCTGCATGGGAGGAGTTTGCCGATTGTGGTGGTGAATAAGAAGGGCAAGGTGCTGGCAAGGCATTGAATTGATGCGAGCTTAGATATCTCAAAGCAGTCAAAGAAACATTGAAGCTGAAAGGCAGAAGAAAACAAGTGACGCAATTACCGGATCAAGTGACGATAGCTCTTGTACACACACAGTATTAACATGTAAAGAAGAAGGGCTGCGTATATGTGGCGATGGCTTCAATTTCGTTGGGGTTGATTTCTTTGTTTGTAGCGGGAATAACACGAACAGTGACAACAGGTCGCTAGTAGTGGCGAGTTCCCGCTAAGAAGATTGAAGCGACAGCGCTGGAGAAGATTGAAGCTTAATTTAGCCCCTGGCTCGCTGGGCTGCGGGTGGCGATTCGGGCCAATGAATGACGCGGTGGGCATCAAATCAGAGCACAGGCGTCACAAGAGCGGCGCTTGCAGGGCCAACCAAGAAACGCCGTGATGACGTGTGGGCGGGTGTCGCATGTGATGGTTCGTTGCGAGTTGGATGGTTGGGGAACTTGCTTGAATAAACGTGACCTTATAATGACCTTGTTTCTGTCTGAATTCTTTGAAAACACTCCAGGGCTCTTACCGTCTGATATTGAAACCACTTTGTTGATGCTGCAGCACCTTTAACAGCGCATGCTTCAAGGCCACCCCGCCTAAATACCCCGCTGTCGCATCGCATCGCATCGCATCGCATTACATCGCAGCTAATCTATCGGGCTCTCTCCTTCTACTGTTCCTATCAACGATCTTCATATTATCTCTCTTCTCTTCCAATCTAAAATTCAAAAGCATCCTCCGTCATCATGGCTTCACACAATGTTCGCGCCAACTCTCATCTTCTTCCTCGCTCTCTTCTCTCGAGAGCAGCCCTTCCCCTCCAAAGCTAACTCCAGTCTCATCACCAGGATCCAAAGCTGCTCTACTCCGTCGCAGGCGTCAAGGCCTACCACCTCGCAAATGGCACAGAGCAGTCATTGACGCCATCAGGGCCGCAGACCCTGTCGCTGCTGATGGTGCCGACGTCTTCGGGCTTCGCAGACCCGGCAAGCACTGGAAGTGGAAATGGAAACGGCGAGCAAGACTTCTACCTCCATCTGCATCTGCCGCCTGAGCTCGATCTTCCTATGCCGGCGACGACTCAGATCTACCACCAGCCTCCCAGCAGCTACCTGATTCCACGATGGGATCTCGGCCCCGGCAATGGCGCATTCACTCGCCTCGAGTTCCCCGTCGTCGGCAGCAGACCCAACGTCCAAGAGGACGTCGATACCTTTGAGACGATTCTTGCACAATGTACCGCCTTCCTCGAACGAGCACCGGCTCCAGCTCCGCCTCCAGAGAAGCGCAGACCTTCCGATGCTGCTAGAGCCAAGGCAAGAGAAGCTGGAAGAGATGAACCTCCTCCCTATAACCCAGCCAACTTTGACGAGGGCGAGGCATATGTCCGGGGCAGTCATAGCTCTCACTTGCCCGGAAGGATCGTCCTGGTTGATGAGGAGGATGGCAGCGTCATGGGCGAGCTTAGCGGCGGCTTCAATGTCGTCGAGGACGGTGCTGTGACACCTGGATCCAAAGGTAGAGCATGTAATATTTCCTGATTTTCGTCATGTACTCACATATCTTGCCGTTAGAACCCGTCGAGATCATTCTCCCTGCCGATGGCAGCAACAACATCTCCGTTCAGCCCGCCTACGACTACATCGAAGATACTATGCACCCTGCCTACAAGAAATCGACCATTGTCTCGGCAGGCACCAAAGCCTCGCGGCTGCTCATCACAACATCCGACTACCTCGCAAAGACAATGCAGAACCAAGCCGACAGTTTCACCAAGAGCACTAAGCCTGCTGCGAATCCGATGACGTTTGCTCCGACAACTCACGACCATATTCGTCGTATAAACCATTATTCTACCAAAGTCGCCACTCTTTCTGCTCAAACCATTGGTTCCATCAATCACTTTGCTCAAAATTTTGGCGCCGGTATGTCAAAGCGAAAAGATGGAAAGGCACGAGGCTACGATCAAGAAGGGAACGTCATTGAGACATACAAGCCCGGAGTCTTGAACAAGAGTTTGATGGCCTTCAACACCGTCGTCGACGGCATGGAGCATGCTGGAAAGACGCTGCTATCCGGCACAACATCAAGCATGTCCACAATGGTGGGACACCGATGGGGGCCTGAAGCAGGTGAAATGTCCAGGAACTTGGGCGGCGGCTTCAAGAACGTCGGGTTGGTGTATATCGACGTGACGGGAGTTTCGCGCCGCGCAATTCTCAAGAGCGTCGCAAAGGGCATGGTTGTCGGCAAGGTCAAGGGAGGAGGCCAAATCATTGTCGACGATAACAACGGAACTGATAACATCGCGGTTGTCTCTGGAGGCAATGGCAATGGCAAATGCAACGGCAGTAGGAGCGCCAGTGGCAGTGGTAGCAGCTCTAGAAATGAGTCTAGAAGCGGCAATGGGAAATCAAGCGCAGTACACGACACATATGGAGGCGGCGCGACGATTCCAGGAAGCAAAGAGGGCAACGGCAATGGGAATGGAAAGAAGGCGGCCTGGTAATTGCATATAAAAGATTGTATATAAGAGACGATCAGTCTGTGTTGATGGCAGCGCTGTGCAGCTTGGAGATATTACTGATATGAGAAATGACCCTGCCTAGTGCAATTTCAACAATGAATAGTTTCCAAATAATAATAAATTGAAGATTAAAAACGAAACTGCTCGTTTGAAATTGCAATATCTCTATTTCTACTAGACAAAGCAGGTCCAAGTCGAGCTCATCACCCAGATACAAGGTCACGTGTCTACGCGCGCTTCAGCGATGACGGCACACGCTACGTCCAAACTCGAGCTTCGCCGGAGCTTCTGGCTACAACCGCGTGGCTGAAGCGCCACATTTCTCGTCTCCAGAGCTTAGTCGCCAACCGCCATGTCGAAGATACGGGTGTAACGGTCCTGGATGATTCGTTTTCTATGCGCCTTTCTCAAGATTCACCGGCTGCGACCCCAATTCGCTGCTCGAATGCTCGTCCGCCCTGACCCCACCATTGTCCGTGTCCGCGTCCCACGATAGAACCGTCCAAAGCAATCAATGTGCCGATACGAGCTCCTGGGCGTCATCATCCTCATCATCCATCGCATAGGCGACTCCCTCAAAGCTAGAAAGGCTAGCGACAAGTGCGTCACCCGTTTCTGATAGGCAATCGCAGCAGCAGCAGCTGTCAATCGCATAATCTATAGCTCTGGCGCCCTGATCTAATCGCAAAGCTCCCCCAGATCCCTACCGCCCGAGCCATGCTCCACGAAATCCTCCTCTCTCTCTCGGGGCATCCGTCGCCTCTCCTCCGAGCCGGAACTGCCGATTCGGGCCCGGTGTCCGGCGTCACGCCTTCGGAACGCCAGCTACTAGCCTCGGCGGCGCATCTCAGCGACATCCACATCAAGCTCATCAAGTACGCCCGCCAGATTGCCGGTGCCCATCCGTCGCCGATATGTCGGGCCGTGGGCACGGCTATACAGTCTATACACTTATCTGCGTTTCAGCGCAAGATATTGGAGGTGGAGGAGAGCATATTGAAAGAGGATCCTGAGCTGGTGGGCGAGTACAATATTGTGCCACTGACGGCCGTAATGGGCGAGTTTACGCAGTGGACAAGGCGGTTCGAATGGCTCTGGGACATTGTTCAGTTCATGGTCTCCAAGGATGAAAAGGGAAATGCATGCTGTGGCTCACAAATCATGAATCGCCTGAGAACCGAGCTGCAAAGCGGCTACCGGGACGTCGAGGAGGCGGCTATGAGCTTGGTCAAGGTGGCCGAAACGGCGTGGCTAAAGCAAGTTTCGGCTTGGGTTCTTTATGGAAGACTGCCCAGCCTAGGAGGCGACGATTTCTTTATCCAGAAAGTAGATGGGACTGCCGAGGTATGAACTGTAACCTGTCTGTTAGTGCATTTTTGCCCCTTCTCCTCCTAACCTCTTGATAGTACATCTACGAACCAGAACTACTCCCCGGATTCGTCACGCCATCAACAGCGGCATCGATGCTATTCATTGGCAAATCTCTCAACCACACACGTGTCAGGGCAACAGTTGACTCAGGCATGGGTGGACTAGATCACCTCTCCACAAAGCTACAAGAGCTAGCCAGCCTATCATTTCCCGTCAACGGCGCTACATTCTCAAGAACCATTGTCTCTATTCGATTGTCGCTTTCACAAAATACCCTTCAAAAGATCTTACCCACCGCAAAGGTCATTGAGACGCTGCAGCTTCTGAGAGAGTTCTTCCTCCTAGGCCGAGGAGAGTTTGCCATGGCCTTGACGCAAGAAGCCGACGACAAGATTCGGAATCGTTGGCGAAGAGCAGGCAACCTCGCTCACGAAAAGCAAGATGGGATGAAGAACTTGACCGTTAAAGATGGTGAGGTGTCTGCCGTCTTGGCAAGGACTTGGGCTGTTCTAGTAGCCATGCAGCGGAACCAGGTAGAAGAAGACGAGCTGTTGGAACTAGCAAGAGATTTGCTCCGGTTACACCTCACCAAAGCTACCTTGACGCCTCCCCTCGTCAGCCCAGGCCTCAACGCCGCCGAAGCCAAGATAATTGCTTCATCGCCATTCCGAAATCTACTATTCTCAGTCCCAGCAACTCTATCTATTCAACTACCCTCCCCTCTCGACATGGTCATCTCCCCGTCCGACCTCCAGCTATACTCTTGCGTCAACTCATACCTCCTATCCATGCGCCGAGCTCACATTCGGCTCACCGATCTATGGAAAATCACCTCGCTAAGACGCCATCATCCCGCCCCCCGAGGCGCAAACGAATACGCTGGCACGCTCAGAGAACGCTGGTCGGCTCGTGCAGCCGCCCTCCGAAGCTCCTGGACAACCGCCAGTGCAGCCATATTCTTCCTCGGTGAGACAGAAGCATACTTCCAGACGGAAATCGTCGAGGGCCTCTGGGAAGGCTTCCTCATCTGGCTCACCGGCAAAGAGCGGCGCCGAGACGGGGGCCGTTCCGGCGCAGCAACTCCAGCCGCGCACTCCGCCAAGCACAGCATAGCCACGACATCCGACTGGAGGCCCGGCTCCTCCAGCAATGCCACAAACCCCAACGACGTTTCCAGACTCCTCTCTCGTCCAGCTCCTGATCCGCAAACCCTCGTCACGGCGCACTCCTTGTATCTCCGCACGCTCGTCCACCGCCTGCTCCTCACACAGCCCGTCTTCAACAGCCTCCTATACACCCTGCTCAACCACATCGACCACCTCGTCACGCACATCCAAAGACTCCACTCCATATTCACCTCCATCGACCTCGAAGCCGACGCCGGCGTCGTCGACTCCTCCACCGATCTCGACCACGAAGAGCGGCAGCTCATGGCCCTCATCCGCGGCGTGGAAAGCAAGATTCGGCAGGGCATAGAGGACGTCGTTGGCGCGCTGCGCGGGCTCGAAGGCGATGTGGAGTTTCTCGCACGCTGGGAGGGTCTTGATGGCACGGTGGATGGGCACGAGGAGTATGGCGATGGGGAGATGTATGTTCCGGCGAGGGTGGGGGGGATTAATCGTCTGTTGATGAAGCTGGACTTTGGCACGTGGATTAATACGCAGGGAGAGTATTAGAAGGTTGACTATAGAGAAGGTTGGCGTTCATGTAATCGGCGTTGAAGCAAAATTTTGACCTTGTCTTTTCCTTTGATAAACAGCATTTGTCATAAGGAGTATAATTGATATTTCACTTAAATGAGGACGAAGAGAGCCAATATATATTAGAATCCAATGATTTCATTCTCAATTTAGGAGTCCCAAAAGGTCAAAACACCCTAGCCCAAATCTATCTCTATGTAATTCTCCCTATCTATATACTCAATTCCGATATCCTATGCTGTCGTATCAAGTCGTATCCATAATATCCCATCATGTCCATTTCGCGCATCAATTTTTTCGGCGCTTTCCAAAAAATTCCAAAAGGCTGTGATTAGAAGAAAAAGGTTGAAATAGCAAAAGGTGGAAAGAAAGCAGTCCCAGGCGCCAATGTATGTGTGTATGTATATGTGTCCGTTATATAATCCCTTTCCCATAAATGTATGCAAAATCCCAATTTTTTTATTCGCTCATCATCATACTTGTGCTCCAGTAAATAGAAGAAGATGGAAAAAGAAAAGTAAAAACATCAAATTCAACTCAAAACAGAAAAAAATGGCAGACGCTCGCTCATGTAAAATTTCGTAAAGTTCCTTTTTATCTTTCCGGCCGTATAATTCATATGATTGTTATAACAAAGAGAAGTAGAACAAAAGAAAGGTCAAATGAGTGTAAGTGTAGAGATCGAAACGAAACGAGATACGTTTCCTCGATTTTGTTAGATGTTTCGTAATTCATTGTTCATGTTGTGGTTCTGTGTTTGTATGTGTTGCTGTTTTTTTCTCAGTTCTGAATAGTCGTGTAAAATTTCTTCTGTCTTTCGAGGATGCAATGTTTTCTGTGTCTAGAATGTACGATATATGAGAAATCTGTCGATGTCGTTCTGCCATAAAAGCAGTTTAATAAGCGAGCACAGTATGTCCTCTGAGTCGCAGGGGACTGAATGTCTGGGCCTTATTCAGCAACCCGTGTACAAGCGTCTTCGTCCGTGGCTGAGACACTGAAACGGTGTGAGTGTTAACGGTAGTGGCGTTACCAACAGCGGCAGTGGCTGTCGTAGCAGCGCTTGGTGCGGTGTGGGGCCGGGCTGGTGTGACTGGGCGGCTGTAAGTGCCGGCCTTTTTCGCTGGTGGCCAGCGGCTAAGGATGGAGTCATCGACAAGGGCCATGAGACCAGTAGCGATGATGACACTGGAGCTCACGTTAGAAACTGCTTGATAGAGGGGAGAAGAGGGACAAAGACTTACTCAGCTACGTCAGTCAAGGCCTCGATGATGGACTTGTCGTTGATCCACATGTAGCACTGGGGAATCCAGTTGCCTGCAACCTGGTCAGCCTCAACCTGGGTCGGGCTGCGGCCTTCAGGCAGAATAATGGCCACCGGCTCGATTTCCTTGTCGCGAATCAGGTGGAAAGCAGTCTTGCCAAGCGCCTTGTCCATCACTCGGCGCCAGGCGTAGGTGTGTCCCCACCATTGGAAGTCGTATTGCTTGCCTAGGCGACGCACGATGTCGACGCGAGCGTAGTTGCTAAACTCAAGCTTGAGGGTGTTGAGCGGGATGGGCCGAGCCGAGGGGAGCTTGGGCTCGTCTGAATCAGAGCTTGCTGCTTCATCGGAGTAGATGGAGCCACCGCAGCCCCAAGAGGTGTTGTTGCTGCCAAAGGAAGGGCGACGAGGGTCCGGAGTAGTAGACGCAGCCAAGGCTGCGGCCTTTTCGGCGGAGGCGCCGCTAGATCGTCGGAAAGAGGTCTTGACCGAGCGCAAAGCACTGGTGACGGATTTCGAGAGGGAAGAGGACGATGCTGTCGGGCGCTCAAGGCGGGGGTTGGCGCCCTTGGAGTTGCATACCTCGCGGCCAGAGTCGCGGCAGTACCGTCTCAGCGAAAACTCTCGCTTGGCAAGATCGTGCATGCGCAAGTGGAAGAGCTGGATGGCGACGGCACGGCGACGGCGCGATGACAGATCCGGTACAATAGCGTCGACACGGAGGTTCATGTTACCATCGGCAGTTCGGTCGTCATGTCGAATGGACAGGCGGTCCATTGACGGGAAGAGACGCGCAAAGGTTTCTGGGTCTGATGACCGGACCGAGATCTCAGGATTGGGCATGCAGGTGTATGGCGGCAGGGTGGAAGGAGGAATGCCTGGCGAGGCAGCAGAATCTTCTTCGTCCTTGTGGTCATTGTCGGAGTCGTTGTGAGACTCTGATGACTTGCCGTCTGAGTAGGCAGAGTCGTATGTATTGACTGACGAAGAAGAGTTGGAGCCAGTGTCTACCATGGATGGAGGCAGCTCCTCCCAAGTATCGCGCTCCCATGTATCCCTTGACAAGTGATGGGAGTCATAGTAGGACCCCGATACATAGCTGGAAGTCTGGTCGTACTGGCGACTTGACGTATAGTAACGACTTGAGGCTGCTGTTGAGTTCCTGCTGCGGGCCATGCTGGAGGCTGTGGTCCTGCTGGCCCTTGACGCTGCGCGAGCCTGTCTCCTTGTAGGGACGGCCATTGCGGGTGCGCTGCGCGATAAAAAAAAAAGTTTGGAGTGACTGGAGAGGGTGTTGAAGGGTGTTACTCTGGTATATTGTGTGCGATGATGACTGAGGCTGGTGCTCTGATGGCAATTGTTGGTTGTATGAGTAGGTAGTGGTAAGTGGTGTAAGTGGTGTATAAGTGGCTATGGTCTTGGTGTGTGTTTTTGATGTGCCCTCTTTGGTGAGAGTCGGTGTCGGTTTATATCAAAAGACGCCGATATGACAAATGCAGCACTTATCCAATCAAGCAATTGTGCACATAATCTGCAAGCTCTATCGAGTTTCCGAAATGTAGTCGACTAGGGACGTCATTAAGGCAGAATGCGTGCGCTTTGGTAGAGTGCAAGTGCTTTCTCATCAAGCTATAAAGTCGAGAGTCTTCTCAGAGTGAGACCATGACCGCACCCGTGGTGTGATATATGTGCGAATGCCAGACCCCCTCCGTTATGTCATCTCACCTTCCGATGCGCCAGTCACTCTTGCATCGTAGCGGATCTATTAGGCGGCAAGCCACTCTCGAGTCTTTACTGTGTTCGGCATGCAGGCCTTGGGCCAAAGAGAGATACAGCAAAGCATGCAAGCACACAGCACAGGGAGAGTGAGCAGGAAGAAAACATGGAGACGGTTAATGGGCACAGACAGGGGGCGTGTGAACCGGGACGAGTGGCAGGCCCGCCAGAGGCTGTGTAAGACGAATAGGAATGGCTGGCCATCTACCCAGCCCAATACCGACTTGCTGGCAAATACGGGGAGTGCATGCCTGGCCAAGCACCAGCAAGGAGAATGGCAAAATTTTCACTCCGAGCAGAGCTCCAATTCGCCCTGGGCAGTGGGCGGCGGCCCAAGGCAAGGCCTGGCCTGGGCGAAAGAAGGAGAACGCCAGCGCAATGGGCCGCAGCCGCAGAGTCGACAGCCGCGTGTTCAATGGCAGACCCTGGCTCACGCATGTCGATGGATCCCCCTCCTCTGCTCTATCGCCCTCTAGTCGGCCTCTATGTCTGCTCCTCCAATCGCGGCCGCGGCTGCACAATGCAGGAGCTTAGAGCTCTGAGCTTTGGGCCGCAGAAATATGCAACTCCTGGAAAAAGACTTCCTGAGAGACGCCCATGTCCGGCCGGACAGGACATGTCTGCATCGCAGGTTACAACGGCCGAGTTGGATGCATCTTGCCTCTTACATGCCGTATAGAAATGGCCCGGGGAGCCAGGTATGGTATTGGCACATTGTAAAGAAAGAAAGTGCTCCATAATGGATCTCATGGCCGGGGTAGAACAATTTTTCGTCTCTCATCCCTGGGCCGCGGCATCGTAGACCGTAGACGGACCTCTCAGAACGCACCACCTCGAGATGCGTCCACAGCGTTCTGACACATATGAGATCGATGACACCATAGTGCTCCGCCAGCGCTGGTAGTATCTAGTGGTACCGATATGCGAGGCGTCAGCAGTGATATGTTATGCCCAGAATCAACTTTATCCCATGGCTCTCGTCTAGGTATTTTTTTTTTCTTCCTTTTTTTTTAAAAAAAATCCCATGCTGTCTTGTTCTTCACTCGGTGGTCTTCCTTGTAACATTGCTACTTGTCGTTTCCGAGAGTGCCCGGCTCGCGAGTAACGATACTTGTCAACGGTCATGGTCCGGACCAATACCCGGCTGGTGGTGTCCGCTCTGCTACGTGGCGAGCAACAGACCACGATGGAGAATCCCTCAGCTACCAAGCCTCTCTCGACGATTCCGCAACAACTCTTGACTTTCTCGTACGCTAGCTAGGCCTTTGCGCAGATGGCAAATTCAATGAGAAATCAGAGAGACAAGTCGCGAGATGCTTTGTGCGTTTTCGGACACGCACAGCGTAAATCTTGGGCCCTCACCGTCGGCAAACCCCATCAGGAGCTGAAGCGTCCCTGACGAGACGAGAGGCCTGGAGATTCATCATCAACTAACATCTGTAAGCCAGCAGATCCCCCGGCCATGGCTGAGACACTACGGAGTGCCTTGCCCGCAACAGCACGCGAGACGGCGCAAACAGAGTCACACGTACCTGCCAGCCTCTGAAAATCGGGTGCGCCGCCTCACTGAAAATAGCATGGCAGCTACCAACGTACGAAGCACACATAGGCACCATCGTCAGCGCCGCCGCTCTCGTGATGACAGAGGCCTGTTCCCCTTGTACACTTGGCCTTGGCGCCGGATCTGCCAGTGGGCGCATGAGTGGCGCCAGAATGAACAAGTCACCGCTGGAGCGGCGCTCTAAGCCCAAGCTGGCTGCTGCCGAGTGCGCTGGCAGACTGATTGGTTAAGCGCCCAAGGGATAAGAAGCCTGTCCGTTGACACATCAGCAATTGTGGCTGCAGCTAGATGGATTGAGCGAACAGCAGGCCGCATCGGTGCGATCCATGGATCCCGTGGGTGCCCAACTTCAGGCGAGGGCTCTGCCAGGCCACTCGCTCGCTTGAGCGTGTCTCTCGGGAAATACCAGCACCAGGCGGGGAGGATATTCCTCAGCATGTGCATTGCTTGTGCCTTGTGGTGTTCATCCATCCCGTGTGCTATTCGTTGTTCGCGCTTCGCTGATTGGCGATAATTGGGACTGGCGACCCCCCAGCGCACGAGGCCCAACAATGCAGATTTGATTTGCACTGTGGGCGAGATGCGTTGCATGGCCGCATAATGCTTCGACTTGACGAGGCACCATGCGATTGGTCTCCTCCCGGAGAATTGAAGAGAGAGAAAACTTCAGCATCCATCAGGGTACGGAGGTTGCATTCTGCATCGCGAAATAATCACCAATAGCAACGGCCAATTGAGGGTTCGATATGGGCACCCGTTCGACTTCTGGCGAGGCCCTCAGCCTTGCCTATCACAAGCTCGCAACAGATTCCGCGATGCGGCAACTTTGCCTTTATCCCCTGCCGTCCCCATTCGCCCGTCATTCTCACAAAATCATCAGTTGATATGAGCTGCACAAGAGCCAATGCATGCATTCCCAATGCTGATTCTCCTCACCTGGATTATCGTACAATGAGCGAAATGTAACGGGGTGAAGAGTCCGGATGCGCCCATTTGCAAGTCCATCGCCACCAGCAACAGCAGGATATTAGCCATGTGAATATCCAGTTGGCTCGATAAGGACGAGGTATTGCATCAATAGCCTGTGGTGCCAGTGTGGTGTGTGTCGGCCAGCCATTCGTCAATTTCACGCCACTTGCGAGTCGTGCCTCGGACACGAGCTGCACGATGCAGCAGCGGCTTGGCCTCTAGCCAGCTTTTGGCGGTTTTTGCGCATCCATCCCAAGCAGCGAGGAGAATCAGCGGAAATGCCTGGACGTTGAACGCGACCCGAGGCTCTCGTAATACCTATTGGACCAAGACCAGGTCAAGTCTGAGCGTCGCATCCATTGTTTGCTGCAGACGGCGCCAGAGACAGACGCGATTGTCGCTTTGCCATCCCTTTATCCCATTTCTCCCTCTTCCGCCGTTTGCCACTAATCGTTAAGCATAACTCGTCTCTATCACGACGGAGAACGTGGGGGACAGCCAGCAAACGCACCCCACACAATGATATGTTGCACTGCAGGGAGGGGGAAAAGACAGATGACCTTGCGATAATGTCGTGTGTCTGTGTTGAGACGCTGAGACACCGGGGACGGCCACAGAGTAGACGCTCATTCACATCACATGCGAATGTTACCTGTAGCTTGTAATATGAGGAGCACAAACAGCAGTGAGGAGGAGGATGCAAGTGACAAAATCAGGGCATTGATCAATATACGGTGCATGGAGGTTGCAGCTTCCAAGGCATCAAGCTGCTGTTGCAGTGCCCGACGGTTATCGATAGCATTCTGGGTGCGCCCAGTACCTGTACCTGCCTGCACACGGAGCAATTGGAAGGGAAGCAGGTACTGTACATTTTACTGCGCACGAGCATACAGATGGAGGCGGAGACGCCGATATAAGGCATCCATGAATTATTTTGTGCCTGGCATCTACAGCACAGCCTAAGGGGTCAGATACGTGTAAGTCAATTGCTGGCTAGCCTTGCTATTTCGTAAATGTGCGTCTGACTACCAGCTGCCTTTTTGCTGTTCAATGGAAATCATACCTAGTCTGAGGTAATATCTCCTGAGAATTTGAAAGAATCATTATGAACAATACAGTACTGCTGCGTTGGTTGTCTCTTCGGTCCCACCCTGCTGAGTGCAGATGGCGATGAACATACCTACCTATCCTGGATATACGGTAATACGGCCATCGGCATCATCGTCTCATCCTCACTGCTATAGATCCCGAAAGCCGGTTGCCCAGTGGATGGTCAATGGCCAACGCCGGTCAAAATGGCTCTGACTTATAGCCAGCAGTGCCTCGGATAGCCGCATTGTCTCTTTTCTCTACAGCTTACACGATTGTCCCTACTGTCGTTATCAAGGACGGAGTGGACTATCTACGGTATCTTCCAAAATATTTGGCACTACCTAGCAAATATCAATTCGACACGTTTAGATATCAGCTGCGAGTAATATGTACCGTGCTTCGTAAAGACAACCTCTTATATCATCCGTCCATCTCTGGCTCGTCTTACGTACCCCTCTTTGGAGGTTCTCCCTCGAATGGATATCTCTCGAATACACGTACCAACCCATTCACCTTTCCATCCACCGAGCCTCAATTGGCGGGTCTATCCCACGCTATTTTCAGGAACCAAAGCCAAAACCGCTGCCGGCGTCCCTCAAGCTCGAGTCCGATTCGCCATGTCTTCTCGGAACAATACTTTCCCCCCTGTCCGCAGCCACTCATACGCGACCCCTACACCGTCTTATCGTGCCAACGTCTCGCCTCCCCGCTATCGGCCGCGACAAACTCCACGATGCTCCACGATGCTCCACGATTTCGGAATCCCGAGGCCCAAGTGAATCCATCGTAGACGGGACCAGATGACTACGTCTTAGCAGCAGTAATTCGCGGCTCAACGGCTCAA